GCTTGTACTCACTGCATGAAAAGTAACTTCTATGCGCATGACATGAGTTGGATGATGACAGATCCTCAGCAAATTACACAGCCCTTTGTAGGAGCAGTTTTGCCCATAAAGATAGGCTAGCCTTCTTTATGTGTAGGTGTCACTTTTACTTACACTCTTGCTTATTCTTAGTATTCATTCAGGACAACAGTTCTTTAAGTATGAGGCAAACACTGATACATAGCTTTTTAAGAGTGGACAGAAGCCAGATTCCTTAAGGGATGCTGAGGAATATGATTATGTATAATCAGCACCTCTGGATAGGTAACATTGCCTTGCTGGTATTGATCAGAGAAGGGTGAATTTAACTTTAGAAATAGCTTTAGAAAACTGAGCTAGGTAATTGATGGGAAACCACTGCTAAGGGAAATCCCTAACTTTTTTTGCTATGTGTATTGACAGTTTCCTTCATTTTTCAGTGGGTTTGTGAGTTGTATAATTTTGGTTCATGAAATAAGTTTTTTTGGTTAAATTCAGGTTTGAAAGTGTGCTTTGAAGATTTCGGGACATGTTTGTAATGGTAAATTTGTAGAATGCTTTCTCTGAGCATATTATGATCTGATAATGCTAGGCCATAAACATGAATTAACAAGGCTGAAAAGTTAGAAATACTTCACTAAACTGAAGTATTTTGTCAAATTTTCCAGATGGATGGACACTAGTGAGACTTTTCTGTCTTATCTTGAAGGGGCAGCAGCTAGTGGTGCTTTGAAGGAGAGAAATGAGCGAGGGCAAAATCAATTCTATACCTCATTTGATTCATATTATCCTTTTATTTTCTTCTCCATCTGTCTGTATTCCCCTTCTCCCCCCAGCTTTTGAAAGAAAGTCCAGGCTCATACTCTTCCAGCAGCCTCTAATGTGCTTGTTCCCTCTTTCATATAAGCTTGAATGTGCCTGTGCTTTGTCACAGAGACAACCCTGTCACCAGCTGCTTCAGCTACGGCTGATGCTCTGCTCAGGAAGGTTTTTAGCAGTTCCTTCACACTGAGCTACTGCTGCCTGACAGAAATAGTGCTGAGTGCCCCAGTCATTATTTGCAGCAGTAGCATGACTGTAGTTCAGCACAGACACTGAAAGAAGTAGGCTGATGTGAGACGGTCTTCAGTGGCACACTGAGGGTCTACCTACCTAATCTGGCCAGCACAGTTTTGATTCTCCATTTCTTAGCTAGAAGCTTTGTGTGGGAAATGGAGGGCTGTGAGTGCACCTTGGTATCGTGGTGCCCACTTTTGGCTACAGAGCACCTACAGGCCATCCTGCAGCCTACATGGCATGCCGGTACTCTGAACACGGCACTACATGGCCTCCTGGGGTTGCTTACCCTGGGAAGGCCTTACTGTGGCCTTTCAGTACTTAAAAGGGGCCTATAAGAAAGACAGGGAGAGACTGCTTAGCAGGTCTGTTCCAACAGGATGAGGGGTAATGGTTTTAAACTAAAAAAGGGGAGATTCAGGCTGAAGAAAAATATTTTTTTTTTAAATGAGGGTGGTAAAATTCTGTCGCAGTATTGTTTGTCCTCATAATTCTTCATTATCTTCCCCATAGAGGATGGATGTGCCACCCATGGAGACACTGAAGGCCAGGCTGGGTGTGGCTCTGGGCAACCTGATGAGTGAAGAAGAGTGTGTGTGTGGGTGGACGATAGCCTTTGAGGGTCCCTTCCAACCCAAACCATTCTGTGATTCTGTGATTCACAGAACCCTTCGCATCATGTATGTTGTGTCGAAACCTGTGGAGTTTTTGGATCTACACAGGCAGGATCTGTGACCCTTTCACAACACAACAGTAAACCTGGCATGGTCAGAGCCTTCGGCTGCCGTGTGATGAAAACAAAGACCTGTGAGAGATTTTACAGCCTGTTTCCCATAGCAAAGGGATGCATGTGGGCTCACCAAGATTTGGAAAGATTCTCAAATGCAGCTCTTGCTGCAAGGAGACAGCTGAAGTACAGGCAGATCAGCGAGTGCCGCAGAGCTTCAGTGGTGATACTACACCACAAAATTACACAGACACAGGGCTTATCCCTTCAGAAAAACTGCAGTTATTGTCAGTGCAGTAGCTTGAGCAGGGCAGGGAAGGATCCCCTCTGTAACCTAATTTCTGGATTATGGCATTCAGAGGCTGCACTGGTACACACAATGAGGCAGTGATGCTGCTTCTGGTGCCTGGCTTGCCTCGACTCACCTCCACTGTGACGATGTGGCTGTACACGCACACTAACCAGACTTGGGATGACAAAATGTGTCTACAAGGTACGAATTAATTCTGCCCCTGAAGTAATGCCCATTTTACCTGTGAATGAAGCTCCCCTGGGGATTTCAGTGCCTAAATTCCACCTAAGTTTCACTTTGAATGGTTAAGTGCTTTTTGGGTCTGGCATCTAGAAGCTCCATGTTTAAGCACATAGTGCAGAGGAAACATTGCCACAAGAGCTGTAACTGCTTAGGGCAAGAAAACTGTGCCTCTCTAGCATACTAAAATTAAGTCAATCGTGCAGAGGCTGAGAGTAGAGGGAATGGTTGATGTAATTTATTTGGATTTAATAAAGAAACAGAAAAATCCTTGTAAAAATATCCCTACCAAGAAGCCATTTAAAAAATCAGGATGGAGAAAGTGAGAGGTAAAGTAATTTTGCGTTAGAAACCAAGAGGTAGAGAAGGATTAAATGGTCATTTTTTTTTTATCATGGCAAAAGGCTAATGGTAGTGCCCCAACACTGTATTCATACTGGTGCTATCTGAAAAAGAAGATGAGCAGGCTATCTGAAAGATGGCACTGTTTGCTGTTAACAGAGAATTATTTCAGTTAATCAGAACTGTGGAAGATTGTGAATGACCTGGGTTAACAAAGTGAATAGATGGGAAGTGTTATGTGTGATGCAGACGCAATGCTGACAAATACAAGTTTGGGGACATATTTAGGGGAATAATTGGAAGTATATCTAGGCTTTGCAGGGTTCTAAATTAGCCATAACTATTTAGGTCATTACTTGCTATGATCAGGTTAGTGGAAAAAAGTGTGTTGTGAAGTTGAAAACAGAAGATGATGTTGTTAAAAAACAAAAGATGATGTGAGACTATGTGGGGAAAAAAAGGGGGGGAAGGGACACGCAATAGACAATAGAATTCCATCCATAAACCAACACTAATGATTCACCCATAATTTTGTTCTTGCCCTGTCTCTTAAAGCATATTGACAAAGTAATTCTGTGGACTTGCAGCTAAAAGATTAGAGAAACAGAGGAGGCTGAAAACAAGGATTTGTTTAGAAAGGAGTCAAGTAATAGGGGATAGAGGTAAAGTATTTAAAACATTGAGTGGTATAAATACAAGCTATGAAGTTTCTATTTATCCTGCTAATGCAAAAAGGAAGAAAAGTGGTATATTTAAAGAGAATGAAAATGAATTATTTTCATGAAAACCTCGTTAACCTTTGGAACTTACTCTCTTAAGCAATCATGGAGGCCAAAAGTTCAGCAGCATTATGCTATTTTAAATCAATTCTTGTGCTATAAGAGCACTGGAACAGATATTCCAGATAGCTATTCAGTGCTGCTTATTCAGAGATCCTGCTTCTCCACTAGAAAAGCCTGTACAGATACTAACCTAATGCTTCCTATCTGTCGATCAGACTTCCAAAGAGCATAGATATTTTTGTGCTCAGCTTTGCTCTCTTGAAACTTTTAACTGGTTGGCAGTGCAAAGTATATGTCGTGCCAGGGCTCCTACACCAACACAAGGGAGGTGTATACCCAAGCAAGAAACAGTTAAGAATTACATAACTTTGCTGTAGAATTTTCTTGATAGAACTACCTATTCCTAATGTTATTTCTGCAACTGTGACTTCCCCCTTCTGGGATCCTGGACTGATGACTTGCGCAGCTGGCGCATTTAATGGAATGGTCCTTTAAAATCTCCTTGCTGCTGAGTTAAGGCTTGTTTGATTTTTCAGTAGCATTTATAACCACTCAGGCTGCACCATGATGTGATCCATTTCACATGCCAGGAAATCTGATGGGGAGTGGCTGAGATTAATGATGACATAATACAGTAAGAAGAGGTATTAATGCTCTTAAGCATGAATTAATGAAATACCATTGAGAATTTATCCTGCATGGAGGATTTTACCTAAAGACTACATGGAGGATTTTACTAAAAAAACCCCAAACACTCTATTGAAATATACAGGACCCTAATGAACCTTTACTCCAGATTTTTGTTGGAGCCAGGTGATTGAGCTGGATCCATTAATTGAATTCCTAATTAACTGTTTATACAAATAAGAGGCACAGATCTCTTGCTTCCAGGGCCAGAGTGGAATTAATTTTTCTCCCCATCTCAGTGCAAAGCTGGATTCCAACCTGTAATGTAGTTCTGAAGAAGAGAGCAAGCACACCAGTGCATTCATGAACCTGGGATTCTTCTCTCACAGTGCAGCCATACAGCACCTTTACCAAAATGGCAGCAATTATCTTCATAAATGTGGAGAGTGACTGTCACTGCCTACTTTTAAAAAATCTAAGGTGTACTTTACTGTGACCTCCTTGGCATGAGGGTCTTCGATACAGGTACAGCTGACGTGGAACTGAAGAATTACTGCTGTGTCCCAGCACTTTTCATTCTCCATTGTCCCTTAGAATTAGGTGAGTTAAAACCCCCGCGAAGATGTTGCATATATATAATTGTCTACCTGTAGCTTCTTTTTTAAGATGTTTTTATTCAGGGAAAAAAACTTTACACTGGCATATATTGTCATATAATCAAGTCTAGAAGACAAGTTTAGTTAGTTTTGAGGCAAAGTGGGATAACAACAGTACACAGGGACTGCTTAGGGTTTTTTGTTGTTCTGTTAATGTCCGAGTGGTTCAGAAAATAATTTCCTTAAAAATTAGGACATAAAATATGACACATATTTTATCCATAACTTAAATCAATTTGAAACACCTTTTATTGCCTACATAAGTGAATATATGTAAACTTTATTAGTAATTTCATTTCAAATTTAAAAGAAGCGAAGGTGTATTGTAGAATTCACAGATAAAGGTTAATTTTAACTATAAAGGTATTATCAGTGTTGCATTTCTTCATGTTATGGTTCACTTATGTAGAATTGAGATGTATTTTATATTAAACAATGCATAGCACCATTATACAACAGTTCACTAAATGCACATCCCATTTAATCTTTTGTAGGAATTAATATAACTGGACTGAAGTTACAAGGAAGAATTGAACTGAGCCAGTAGGGTTAACACTGATACTAACAGGAGATTACCAGTCATAAGAAAATTACAGCTCTTCTGAGAGACAGTGCCTAAAATAGCAGCATATCCTTGGCACCATCATAGGAACTGGTTAACTGATGACCCTGAAGAAACACTTGTTTCCATTAATTCTGATGTCATTATTTTGCTATTCTCGAACTCTTCCTCTGAATTCTTCTGTCCTTCTGATCCCAAGACAAGATGGCAGGAACGTGAGAAGAGAACATAAAGAAATTACAATAAGCTGTCAGCTATATAATTATACTGTAACCTACTACACTGAGAAGTTACACCAACAGAAATTTGGCAAGGAATCGGCTGCTAGCTGAACACAGGACACTCACTAGCATAACATTAAAAAAATCAGGCTCACTAAAAAGCAACATCTACGTTACAAAGAAGCTAACAAAAGAATTCCCTTATGATACTTAGGTTCAACTGCTTCATCTTAGGTTCATCAGCTACATTTTCTTGTTTTATGAATACTTGTTACATTTGCCATTGACTATATATATTTAAGATCACAATGCTACAACCCTTCTTCCAGTATGTAGTTTTGCCACTTTTAGTTAGACACAAAGGAGTACTTGCTTGAATAAGGGTTGAAGATTCTGTTGGAAGTTGGTGACATTATTAGGTCATGTGTACTGTAATTACTTGAGCACCACAATTTTTTACTCCCTAAGACAATTTCCTAGGTAGAAGGCAGCAAGCATGCTTTTAAGTTGCCAGACAGACCAAAAGAATAATTTTTGCTCCAAAGAGTCTGCTGTATACCCTGAATTAGAACAAATTCTTATTTCATAGAGACTTCAGATTTTTAAAGCATCTCTACTCAACAGAGCTAAACAGTTTCTGATTTAATTTTAAATGTTCCAGTGAGTGGAACTGCAAGCATAGTAACTTTTAACTGTTAAGGAACAGCAAGAGTTACCACTAGGGTGAATGGTGCCAACGCCTTTTTCTGCAAGAACATTTGCTACAGTGTCACAGTCCTGATTATTACCTGAACCGCAGGGTTCCATCTCAACCTAGATTTTAATATTTTTACATTTTGAATTGTCTCAAGAGCAGGAGGTCGTGCCCAAAATGCTCTTCCTAAACTTTTTCAAAATGCACTGATTTATTTTCCAAATGGACTTTATAATATTCCAATGCATTAGAAGGTAACAACTGATATGGCTTCCAAGTGAATTTTTGCTGTTATCATACATGTATTCACAAACTGCCACATGTGAAATGGTGGCCCCTGTGATGACAGGGCATTAATTTTAGCGTTATTTGGAAGAATGCAATTTTGGGAGTGGTGACAAATGAAGTCCTTGCCATTATCTTTTGAGAGGCCCTGATTGAGAGAAGAGGCTTGGGAATCAACAAAACAAAGACCTCAGACTTCCAATTTCGCCACTGATTTGGTCAGTAACATCTTAGACATCAGCTGCCTTCTGCACTTCTCTGGTCTGATAAAAATAGGGACAGTCATGCTTATTTATCTAACTCGAAATAATGCCATGATGGATTAATTATTTAGATAGCTCTCAGAGTGCTATCCAAATGCTTATTCATGTTTTCCCCAGTGCAACAATGTATCTTTATCACTAATAATTAACTGCTAATTACTGTTGCTGAGAATATGATACTGGTGTTTACCATCTTATTTTTAATTTCAGCACAGATGCCTATTTAAAAGTTATGTAAATTATGAAATTACAGTACATTTTCCTAATGACCCTGCTATGTCTGAGTTTGATCTTATCCAATTCTGACTAGAATAATGAATAGGTAAGATGACCTCTCTTCTGTAGAGCTATACAGACAGTTACTATTGTATTCTCAACATTAAATCATGAAATGTAAAGAAGCCAGTCTAAGCAGGATACAGCTGGGTCGAAGGACTGCTGATGCCAATTATGCTTCGTACATAAGAATGCACATTTTACCTATTTGGAAAAAAATTCACATTTATTTACTGTCAAACAGGTGTTAAAACTTTACACTGGATATTAGTGATGGGCTCATTATTAACAGGTTTACACAAAGGGATGAAAAAAGCAGAATTTCGTTGAAACAATTTACATTTCATTAGATTTTTATCATAAAATAAATTAATTACTAAATATAGGCAGAAGGAATATGGAAGAGTAATAGTTATGTTTTATTTATTTTTTTAAAGGACAGGCACCTTTTATTCACGAGAAAGCTTGTGAGAAGTGTCCGGTGTCCCCTTTACCCCTTACCACCCAACCCTGATTGATTAAAGAATGAACAGGGAATTGTGTTACAATCTTTGTCAGCTATACCGAATTTGTGCAAGGCTTGGCATAATTGGTTTCTAAAACAATTTTCTCCCCAAATTATGGTTTTTGGCAATAAAAATTCAAAACATAAGAATAAAAACTAACTTGTCAAAGCAGAACACTGTTTACAGTGAAAAATAAGTGAAAACGGGTAGAACTTGCATTTAAACATACTACCATACTATGAACAGAGTGTAAGAAAAACAGCTTATAACATATGTGCAACCAAGAGCTTTTCACAATATTTTCTTCAAACTCTTTAAAATTATTTTTAATGACAATTATATTTCAGTTGGACACAAATGTATTTATTTTACCCTAGCAATAGAACAAAATATAATTTCTTTAGCCATTTTTTTTTTCATGAGAACGGTTCATTGTACATTTGAGGAAATATATGAAATAAGGCCTGTGGCTTGATTGCTAGTGGTTAGACATGTATTCAATCTTTGCCCTAATGGAAAAGATTTGCAGTGAACTGCAAACTGATGCAGAATATCTCTCCTGCTTTTGCAAGTCTTGTCAGGAATAGTAAGGTACAGTAAATTTGTCCCACAGGATTTTAGAGCCTACGCCTTGTATATAATACAATGTAGGCCTAGAAAAAAGAATGGTGCAGCCATATTTACAAATTTAGTTCACAAACTGCTGCAGTAAAATGGCTGAGAAGTGTTTTATTTCTCTTTTTCTTTTTTCTTCACAATTTTGTTAAATTCAGCAGCAGAAGATATCTTAAAATACCTTGTTTGGTATTTCTTTTCTTTGTAACAAATAATTCATTTTAGTATACTCTGTGTATATACAAAGTTTTTGTTTTATAAAAATTCACAGAACTGCGAGGTCCAGTCATCCCCATTACTGGAGAACCACAGGGTCAACAGAATTGTCTCTTCAAGCAGATATGAGGGAGCCTGCATGGGGCCAATTAAGTCTTTTTAATACTTGTACGTGGCCTTTAATATTTCTTTGCTACACTATTAAAGGCTTGTCACTAGTTGCATTTGTCCTTCTCTAACGTCCCCTTCTGGAATACATCCTTCCTTGTTAATGGGAATTATATAGCCGTCGCTATTACCCCTGCTGATTTGATAGTACATCTGAAGCTGATGGCCAGCTCCTAGGTTTGGCATGCTCTTGTAGTAAATGTCCTCATTTTCACTCCTCCTGGAGGGAGAGAGATCTTCTTCAACATCGGGGCTGCTCTCTGGATACGGAGAGTCTCTGAGATTGGGCATGCTCGTGTAAAGAGAGTCTCTGTTGGGGGACTGGAGGTGGTCGTCAGCCTCGGCTGTCAGCTGTGAGACGTAGCTGTCCGTTCCCTCGGTCTTCACTTTCTTCTGGGGCTGGTACAGAAGGGAGTGAGTCCGCTGAGGAATGAGCGGGGCCTCAAGCTCTTTGTGGTGGAGCTCCAGCCCAGGGGTGTCACTGTGCATCAAAGATGAGGCATCTGCCACGATGGCATCATCTTCGCTACTGCTCCCGCCGATCACAGCTTTGGCCGGTAGCGTGCGCTCCAGGTTGTGGTTCTTGCTGCTGCCCCGCAGGTTGTTGTGCACTAATTCTGAAATGATCATTTTCTCAAAAGCAGTATCATTCAGGCTTAGTCCACAGTCTACAACTTGCACACTGTCGTTATAGTCTCCATTGCGCAATGAGTAGCTGTTGTTGAAATTACCATTTAGCGGTAGAGTATCCATGGCACTTGTATCCCTGGCATTGTTCAGTGAATGTCCTGAAATGGAAAAGGACAGCTCTTGGTTATTGCCTGATGTGCTTTTTATCACTTAATTATTTTTTTTAAACAAAATTCTTTAATGTAGTTCAGGACAAAGTTGTACTTGGAAGTAAGACTTGAGAAAAGTTAGGTTATTGAACATTCCCAAATGTAAACAGTTGCACACCTTATAGGAAAGATGCATCTTAAAAACAGTAACGTGTATTTCCTGTGGGGAATAGTGGCATTTTGATTTCTTAATTTAGTGTCAACTCTGTGACTCTTCCACAAGGAACTGTTCACTCCATGCCCTTGCATATATAATGCAAAGCAATTCATTTGGAAAAATCTATGTTTTGAAGTACACCACCATGATTTAGAAAGAGCAAATGAACAGAATTTGTCCTAAACGACACTAAATTAAAAAGGAATTAAACTACAGACGTAACTGAAGGTAAATGTATAACATAAACCCACGTAACTGGCAAGCAACTACTTCACCAACATTTCTAACATTTTTTTTCCTTTTTTTTTTTGAGATGAAGTAAAGAAAAGAATGAAAAAAATGGATAAATACAAAGAATTTATGTTGAACAAGGACAGCCATCTTTCACACTACAGGGACCAGGGCCCACAAGCACCATCCAACAACACAATAGACAGCAGGTGGAATGACTCACTTTGGACAACTCACATCATGTCTGTCTGCTCAGGCTATCTGGCCTAAGAGTAGCTGATATATAAAAGAAAGTAAAATGATTTATTGTAACATGATGAAGAATTACTGAGCTTTTCAGCAACTTAGTCAGAGCAAGGGTTCAGCAAATTAGATTACTAAGCAATAACAGCTTTTTTTTCCCACTTAATGCAATTTTTTTTGCGCTAATATTCTGTCTGCCAACAACAGCCCCAGGCTTCTAAAGGTCAAAGTTTGCCTGCAGTCTGCATCAGTCACAGTGACAGCGCTGAATGAACCAGAATAGTTAATTAAGAGTTAGGCCCACAGTTACCATGGGCATGGAAGTCAAATGCAGAAATGTTAGGAATTTCTGTAAGTATGGGTCACAGAAATTAAACCAAAGAATAAATATTAGTTGTGGAATGGGAAAAGGAAATCAGCCATGGCTGATATCTCATAGCTGCTGGAGGGATGACAGATTGGGTAAGTTTGCTGGAAACATGAAAAGAAGTTTAAGGGGGAGGAGGAATGAAGTCTTATGATGATTAAGGTCTTTATGCTTTTGGTTTTGGCTTTTTTTTTTTTTTTTGGTAATACGATAAAGAAAAGGTTTTCCTACAGACACAACGACATGTAAACTATGACAGCACAGTGCTTCCCAAGCAAAGGAAAAAAAAAAAAGAAAAAAAACCCCAAACTTTGAAAGAAATTAAACAGTCTGAACCATGTAAAGTCAGATGGTTAGAGCATTCCTAGAAAATCACTTTATCTACAGATATGTCTTGAAGTAAAGAAAGAATGAAGTGATGTTTACTGAAATGAGACTGACCACTGTGAGGCTGCTGCATTATATGCAAGGCTTGGAGGAGTATGAGAAAAAGGTTGTTTTTGAAAGGATTATACATTTTTCCATTTTGTTTTGGTTTTGTTTTCCATAAGTAAAGCTGCAGCTTATCCTAGAAGATTCAGTCTTCCCTGGAAATATTGTTTTCAATTAAAAAGTAATTGCATTTTCTCAGGAAAAGATTTGATCTTTAAAAAACAGAGTAATAATTCCCGAATAAATTCTGAGTAATTTGCAAATTGTTTTGTATCTGTATTATTGTTGACTGCTTTCCATGTGTACTGATTTAAACAGTGATGAGGGTTGTTTGAAAGGTCTCTTTAAGCTTTGATTAAACAACTTTGTAGTTCTGCAGTTTCATATATGTTCCAAGATTTTTCCTGTAATGGATTTAGCTGTGCGAAACATATGGCATTTATAAAAGTAGACAACACATGGGCCACATGCTGGCATTCATTTCCCTCATGAAAATGATTTAATTCTATAATTTTAATTCTCTTTTCTTCTGCTAAACAGATACCAAAATATATCTGATAATCCAAAATGAATTTTCTGTGATATACTGCAGAGTTAAGCATGCTAGAATATATTCAAATTGGTTTGATGAAGCAAATTTTGTTGCCCACGATCAGGTAATTCATTTGAAATCTTTCCATAGCCTGTAGCAAGATTACTGTGGGAATGTAAAAATATGAGTAAATTGTTAAGCATTTCTGCTTGACACTGTTTTGGTTTTAAACAGCAAATTATTTCAGCATTGCATAACTTCTGTTACCAATAGGGTTTGCTACAGACCTCATGTTGTTTCCCAAAAAGCAGTATGCAAGTACTTTTGAATGTGGAAACATTTCATTTGCAAATTGTGAACCACTTGCCCGCTGAGTCTACTTCATGACCGCTAGTTATGTTTTAATTGTGCCCATTAAAAATCATGCTGAAAAAATTTACATTTGATAGGCAAAGTTAAGTTTTACTCCCATACTTGTCTCTCTGTAGGTTGCTAGAGGAAAGCATAAGGAAAGTAAGAAAACAAGAGAATGAAAATAGAAACTACAGTTCAGTTAAAGAGGAAACTTGAAATAAAAACTGGAAACAAGGTTTTATGAGCTCTTTATCAAGGATTTATCATTCCAGTTACACTAAAGTGATCTTACGACTCATCAAACAGCAACTGCTAGATATTTACTGATGAATTGCACCATAGTTTAAAAAAGCAATTAGATAATGCAGAAACAAAATGTTAGGTAAGTGATGACACCCTTTATTCCTACAGAACTAAACTCTTCTAACTGTTAATCTCAGGATCTTCCTACAGAAAAATGACCTACCATAAAGCTGCACTATACTATAGTTTATAACTGTTTGATGCTGGAAACAATTTTCTACGCTGGGGTATCCAAAGGTGTCAAGATGCCTTGGGCATCTAATCAGTTCCATAAGCAGGTTTTTGTCAGCAAGCTTTAGAGTCAACCTTATATTGCATAGACATGATACCTCTAAGTGATATATATCTTGAAGATGGGCTCTCGGACCATGTGGTGTCAGTCCTGTAATAGTATATTAAGATTTATGCCACCTGTGTTAAAAACATGGATAATTATTGGTAAATACTGTTATGGCAAAGGCATTACTATAATATAGTGCAGTTTTACAAGCTGACATTGGCAACACTGTGTTTCTTGAACTGACAGAAATACAGACTGTATGGCTAGGGTATTGCAACTTGAGTTTCTGTCTAGGGAAAAGGAGGGATTTGGAGCAAGCCAAGAAAAGTGGTTTTATTCAGGAAGTATAAGCACACCTGGTGAGTTAAACACAGGAGCTGAAGGGGCATTACATACAACTGTTTCAGCGAGCAATGTGTTATAGGGGTTGTTAGTGCCGTGTGGTCGAAGAAGAGGGTTTGTTAGTAGGTAATTGCCAGTCATTCCTAAAGCAAAAGAAACAGAAAAAAATGTCAGTTCTTTAATTTTAGGCTGACAGTTTCAATAAAGAATAGTTTTTATTCATCATGAACCATGTAGGGCTTGTCAAATGTAATTCAGCTGAAAATTTCTGAATGTATTTGAGCTATGTATTTGAAATGGGAGCAGGAAAACACAGTTAGGTTCCAGTAATTCACAGGTGCTGTCCAAATCCCCAAAGTAAACATCTGGTGAGAGTGACATTTACTAATGTATACAAAATCACTGTTACACACGAATAGCAATTAAATGTGTAGAGATCAAGGTGCTACATAAAACTATTATAACTTTAAGAATTATCACATGGAATGCTTCTGTCCAGACTTGAGAGAAATTAATTTCTTGAACTGAAAGGTATTGAAAAATTTCTTATGACAGGATCAGAGCTGTTATTCACTTTATGAAAAACACATGGATAGTGGAAGCGAATTGCTGTTTTCAAACAGACAGTGGATGACAAACTGCAAGAAGCATATCTTAGTATATGCAAAAGTATACATGCTGAGGGGAAAGCAAAATATTTGCTCTAAGAAATCAGAGCATTCACATTTTCTCCCGGGACACTCATGCTGCAAATTTATCTGCCATGTTTTAAAAAAGAATTCCTCAACCAACCAATTTTTTTTTAAAACAATCAGTTTACAAACAATGTAAGATGAAGCAAAACACTACATGAATAGATTCTTTTAAACCCATTTTACATGTTAATGCAACACCCATTTTAACACCTCTTGGAATAATTAGAAAAAAAAAACAGTGTATTTTGAGAAATTATTAAAAAGTCAATTAATCTCTGATTTCTAGCTACTAGAAGAAAAATGGGTTGGAATAATGACAAAAGAAAACTCCACACAAAATGCTGTGACTTAGAACTTAACTTTAAACATTTCATTAAGCTAAAATTCCACTTTCTTTCCTGTTGCATTGCACAGCAGTATATCAGGATGAGTGTATTACAGACCCAAGGACAACCGAAGAGTCAGCTATATTTTTATAGTATGGGCATTTTTATTTGTCAAGGAAAAGAAAATATTTATTCCAAATATTAATGGTTTTGTACTACTATAGTTACTTAGCAGCAGAAATTAGTGAAAAATTCTAAAATCCAGAGAATTATTGCCTGATTATACTATCTTATCTGGAAGTTCATCCAGTGAACAACCAAAAAGATTCTATCTTGGATTTTTTCCAGTTGTAATTAACTTATTACTAGAAATACTAGCTGAAACATATTTTTCTTGAGTTCTTTTGTGTGTGTGTGTGTGTGTGTACATACTATGTTTAATCTTGGTTAGAATTGTTACCTGTAATTTACAGTTAAAAGAATTTCTCTTTTTCAATAAAAAAAAAATTGCCACTTTTAAAACCTTGATTTTTATTTTGAAGGAAAAATGGCACTTACAATTAATTACTAAACTATGCTTGCATGTATATATTACAGAGATAACTGAATGAAGATGATATCATTTTTTCTGATCATGGCAGAACATCTCCAGTGACATGGGACTGGAGCTCTAAATGAGGAAGGAGCTTCCAAGACCTCTGTTCAACTCTGAGTTAACAGAGGGTACACCATGGTTAGAGCAAACCTCAGGAGTTGGAGACATCCAATTAGGGTGAAGTCCCAGACTTCTATCTCTAGATAGAGAGATATTCATGGGATTTTAATAAGACACTGGAAAGGAATGTAGTTCTTTCTTAGGCAGGAAAAATACACATATTCTACTTAGGAGAAGTTACTTAATTTTGATTTGCTAGAGCAACATACAAGATTCAGATGGGGGTTAGCAGTGAGACACAAACATCTTACCCACATTCTACACACTAAATAGCAAAAATAGAATCATGCTTTCCGAAATGCTTTCTTTCACAAAATACATTTTTTACTTCAAAAATGAATGCAACTTCTGTACATGTCCTTGCTACCAAATCTTGAAAAAATAAAAACAAGGGAGAGAAATTTGGTAGTTGTTGATGAGGGCTTTATGAGTGGCCCTTGCATAGGTGAATTTTCTGTTTGAAAGTTTCTCATTTAAGCAGAAACTGATTGCAATAAGATCAGACCTATGTGTTCTTTCCTAGGGACTTGGGTGGATGAACAGGCTTTGAACTTGGCTTGCACAGACCAGTCTTCTCTCCATTGCTAGCTCTAACTGCCTTAGAAAAAACACAGGGAGAACGGGAGGAAGGAAGGGATATTCTGTCTCAATTAATACCCTTGTCTCCTAACTGGACATAAGAACAGATTACAGATTTCAAAGTCTATTTGACCTGAGAAATTTGGAGGTTTTGCTTCTCTGTGCCTGAAAATCTGGATTCTATCCCACGTGACAGATATGATGCTCTTTGAAACAGAAAAGATAAATGCTTTACAGACATCTCTTGCATAGAAATTATATCAATTAGATTTCACTGGGAAAATTTCTGCACCTAAAAATCATAGTCAAATATGCATTAAAATGTTACTGCACTCATATTTCTGTTTCAGATTTAACCTATAAAGGTTAGGAAAGATTTAAAATTATGATCTTGCTTTTAAGTTAAATTATAGATGAAACTCATTTAAATACATTCTCACAAATGGAGGATTTAAACTCCTATAGCAGGCGGCCAGTTGAGAGAACACAGTTTTAAAATATGCTGGTGGGTGACTTTAAAACTCTGCTTTTAGAGAACATTTGTTCCAGAATATTTTTTTTTTCCAAAACATTCTTTTCAATTCTGTGTTAAATAATATAAAATCTTATAAAATTTAAGGCTTCTAAAACGGAAATGTTCCCAGTGACTGACCTTGATTAAGTGTTGAAGTGCTGTTGATGTCACCTGAGATAAAAGACGATTCAGATTGTTTTCTCACAGTGTCATTCCACATCCTCCTTATGCGACTCTGTTAACATAAAGCAGTGAGACAAAAGCATAGTAAGTTACAAGAAGATTTTATCATACTTATGTGCTGTTCTGTAGAATATTTGTGTTTATTTTGGCCTGAAGCAAGCCATGCTTCTAGCACATAGTAAAACTCCTCCTGTTATTATTAAAGCTCTGATTCATTAAATTTCATTTAGATGAAACATGATGGTATAAACCTTCCTATAAAGCAGTACTTAATATACAAGAAAAATAAAGTGTTTGAATTAGACCAAAGTAAAAGAAAATTTAAAAAAGAAATCAATTATGCTGTGCAGAAGTATGTATTTGCCATCTAAATGATAATAATGAGAAGAAAATTAGTGTTTCTGATTGGAACACATCTCAGTCAGCTTTTTATAAATAAGGTTAATTAAGCGATGCTGTCAAAGTCTTTTGTTACCTGAGTGCCAGAGGAATAGCGGGCACTAGTTCTTGTTGTTGATGCCTTCACTGAACTGTGGGGACTCTCAGTTGGTAGTCCACCACAGCAGTAAGAATGTCGGAAGCATTTGCCATATTCTTTACGTACCTAGGGAGGGAAAAGCAATACTTAGCACAAAAAATAGTCTTAAATATCTCCACTGATAAAAACACATGAACCTTGCATAGAAACTATTTACTTTTCAAGAAAAAAGATATTTCTTGTCTGTTGAATTATGGGCCATTAGCAAAATAAAGTATTCTCTACTTAATGGCAGCATTATCAATTATCCAGGATTTCTGAAAAAATTATTTCCAAGGTATACACACACATTTCGTTTAGATGATGTGCCTGAGTAATCATTACTGAGTTGGGGGTTGGGACTAGATGATCTTTAAGGCCCCTTCCAGGTCAAACCATTCTGTAACTGAGTTATTTATAGATTTTTATTTTGTCATACTATAGGTTAATATAGTTCAGTTTACCAGAACTGAATGCTGCCTGAAAATAGTCCTTTTTTATATGAGCTTTTGGTACAGAAACCATAGAAAGCCTGTTTCCCCATCCTAGCATGCAAAAAGGGCTGAGGTAACTAGCCTGTGTCCTGCTCGGTAGTGCCCATTATGCTATCCGTTCTGAGGAAGTGCACAAAACCTGCAATGACTATACAGTCATTTTCATATAAATTTACTGTGTGTAACTCAAACAGCTGCTAGTTCATATGGTCACACTAGCTTTGGGATTGTACAAAGCTCACAAATGCCACTGCCCCACTTCAGGGAGAATGCCTGCTGCGCTCGTAAAGTCACCATCAGACTTCCAAAGTCAAATTTTAAACTGTGAAGCTTGGGAAATCTTTCCATTTTAGGGCCAAAAAATAAAATCCTCATTACTGTCTTTGCTGAACCTAGAAACGTGACTACACCTATGTATATGAGATTTTTGTCTGACAAAGCAACAAGACTAATTAATGATTCTAGTATTCTGCCTGTATTTATTCACCTTCTGTTTCTAGTGGCCTACAGGAAACTTTAGCTTTGTCATTTTTGCGGCTGCTATGCTAGCTACTATTTTCAGGTAACAAGAAGGTGAATACGTATTTTGGCATCATGACAGCAACAGTGAAAGGACAGAGTGGATAAAATTTGGAAAGGTGCTCAAGTCTAAATTCATAAATCTTCCATCAGATACTTGGCAATCTAAGTGTCTCCCCTGCATCAGTAAGAATCGTAAGTTTCTGGGAAAAGTGGGTTTTCAGTCAATGTGGAAAGTCTGCTTGACCTATGAAAATACAGGACAGAAAGTTACGTGTATATAGAAACGGGAGAGGGGAAAATGCAAGAAATTAATAGTGTGGATTTACATGTGACATGTGCTGCTATCAATATTACAAGAATTTCACTCATGGAATACATATGTTTTTATAAACCACAAGGTTTAAGAAAATTTGAATAGTTAGTGCCTTAATTGACTTCAAGCTAGGGAGAATGACTCATCTTTTTATAAAAGTATATGGTACCTATTTGAAGTGAACCCCGATCTATAACAATACGAAAAGACTCATGGAAAATGAAAACAAAAGTGCACAGACATAGAATTATAATCTTTAACCCTGTAGTCTGTAAAACCTATGTCTGTATGTATCATCACTAGATGGTATAACACCTAAGAAAATCCATTCCTGAACACAAATGGATATTAAATGCTCCAAACCACTACAAAGTAGAAACAATAGCAATCAAAACTGTATTTTTACCCAAATACCACCCTCCAGGGCTGGTTTTGCCTAATGCCTATATTGCAGTGACTGTACATTATCTGTCAGTATTGCACATTCCACTGTCATTATTTCTAAATTATAGCTTGTTGAAAACCGATGGAAGCAACAGCACTATCATCTTGTCAGAACTGGAAACATAATAGTTTTCACTTTCACAATTCTATTTCACTGTTCAATTTAGTGACCAACTAGTAATAACAGAATAAAAAGACTACATTAGCTATGCAGACAGAGGATAGGATGATACCCAGTCAAAGGCATCGAAACTTAAAAACCTTAAATGGCAGCTTTATCATTCTTTCAGGTATAAATCTCACTGCTCTAGGTTATGCTTTTTCACACTTGACTGGTATCTTAATATTGCTTTTTGCTGATTCACTTAATATAAAAACAATGCACAGCTGGAAAAAGAAATAAAAAGTTAATCTGGTTTTGATTTTCAAGTCCGATACAAGTGGTTGAAAGGGCAACATTGTATGAAACCCTAATCTAGAAATTATTTGCATTTTGAGAATGTTTTCATTTTCTTTCCTCTCTTTTTTTCTCTCAGGCTCAATCTCCTCTCTAAGCATGCTTTTATTCTCTCAAAATGAGAGGAAGACCATGTTCATCTCGATAAAACTCTTGTCTACCAGATCTTTTCCTAAAACATGGCTGAATGCCACTGTCTACACCAAATTTAGAGGTGCTGATAACTGTTAGAGCTGGTACAGTTGAGTCACGCAAGAATATGATTTTTGTACTTGCACAGCAATGCTTTATCCAGTGGTCTCAAAACATTTTGCAAATATCAGTTAATTATGTCTCTGGTGAGCTAATTATAATGGGAGCTAATAATTGCTATGTCTCCAGCCTAAAACTGGTAAAAATATTTAGAATCTAAGTATCACAAATTTGGTATTTCCAAATGTAATTTGTATTGCATTTTATGTGAAGTTTTTTTGGGGTGGGATTAACCCTTACCCCTCCTCTCAACTCTTGTTGCTTTTATTTGCTACACCTTCTAACACAGGCTATGAGCTTTTTTCTTTTGTCCTTCAGAAAAGCACCTCTAAGGCATCCCCGCTCAGTCTGGGGATGAGCTGCAGGGAACCCAAAGAGATTCCCATGCAGCTGCGCCCTTCACTTCCTTCTCTCCTGTTTGCTCCTCTCCTCTCTCCCCTGCAAACCTTCTCTCTCCCCAGCAGATCTGTTCCCTCTGGACTCCTCTGTTCCCATCGGGCAAAGGGGAGCAGAAGTAATTTAGCACATCCCACTTATGAGTGAAAGCTCTTGCCAGGGGATTCCAGTTTTTCCAGTTGAGAGCACAAAACTGCTGATTGCTGGGGAGGCAAACACCTGAATAAAAGTAGTCATGCTGGCATCTTTGGGAACCTCTCCCCGTTAGCAGTTGTCTTGTGTTAATGACTACGTTTTTTCTATAGTGTGCTGAAGTTAATAATAAAATTAATTTTTACATCTCACTTAATTTTGTAACGAACAAGCACTGATAGTACAATCCCTGCCTATCACCTGTAGCTTTATGTGGCAGCTTAATGGGATCTCAGGAGAGGTCCTCTGCCTTGATCTGAGAGAGTTTCCAGGCTGAGATAGGCTGATACCATAAATGATCCTTTGTTAGCAGTGCTGCAGCTAAGGCAGGATTTATTTTGTACACACATAAAGACTTTTGACTGTAAGTCCAGACTAATACATAACACATTAGCAGTGTTAAGCAGTAGTTCTATAGTAATTTTCTTCCGAAAGCCTCAAAACTTTTCAAGCCCAGGCTGGAATTGCTGCATCCATTTTAAACCCACTCAGGCCACAGAACAGTTACAGGAATCCCACAAGAACACACACATCTTAGCCCCTCCTCAAACTACTTCAGTTCTTAACATTGCTATTTTTTTCTCTGTTTTTAAGGAAATATATGTGGTATTTGTAAGGAGTTAAGAGAACATGCATGTGTATTTTCATTAACTTACTTTCTTTTGAAGGGCACAATGAAAGATGAAAATAAACATTCCTTGGAAAGCATTAAATACTGTGAAGAGATACGTCATCACAACAGTGCCCTCATTGATAAACAGCAGGCCAAATGACCATGTTAGGCCAAGGAGACACAGGAGAGCAAATGCACCCAGGACCCAGGATCTGTAAAAGAAAATTAATTTTAGTAACATTACTTATGAGAATGCCTATCACCAAAACCAATATTAACATTTCAGTTCCTGCAGTTGACTTTTACTAGGTTCATATTCAAATGTAAAAAATCCTTGGGTTTAACCTTTTATCTATTAAAGAAAGAACAATTCCATTTAGTACTCTTAGTCTCCAGTGAAAACAGCAAGAGTAGATGTGACCTTTTTCTTTCTCAAGAACTGCACAGGATGTTAAAACTATTTTGAAATTCGGAAGTATAGCGCAAGCCCCAGCTACTCCATTGCTTTATCTGCTTTTAGAAAAGAGATTGATAAATCTGGCTTAGTCACTAATCACACCATAGATTTTAAACTGCCATATGACACCAAATAATGTAACACAAATGCACAAAGGTTAAACAGCAGATTAAAAGCCTAGAGCCCAAATCTTTAATGCGCCGATAAACTCAGCTAAACTGAAGCTAGATGATCTAACTTCTGCATGAAGAAACCCTGCTGAAATGTGACAAAAATATGGATATTGCTCTACAAAATAGTCTAAAAAAGATTCCATCATGAACAGGTTAAGGAAAAGGAATTGTAGAGAACGGCACAGAATGAAAGGGAAAGGGAATTTAGTCAGTGAATTCCACATCTAACTAATGATCTTACTTGATAAATGGCTTATTATCTTCATAGCTAGAAAGCATTATAAGCAGAAAAGAGAAACAAAATTATTAGACAGAATTGAAACAGAAATTAATAAGAGCATTTTTATTTGTCTATAAAAATTAGTCAAAATCAGAAAATTCAAAATGCAGAGGCAAGCAATTTAAAATTATAAAGGCATATAATAGTTTAAAGTTCTTTAGCAAATCAGGTATCTCAAAAGTAGTTAACTAAAATTAAGGGAAATCCACAATATTGACCGAGTTTGTAAAGTTAAAAATCATGCTAGAAATTTGTTAATGTAGGGTTCTATCTTACCCAGGTAAGTCCGTATTATAGTAGCCATCACAAACACGGTAATTACTGGTGTGGATGAGAAGACAGAAAGAGGAAAAGGAAGAAAAGAGAGAGATGCTAAAGATTAGCTCTCTCTCTCATCATGCAACATGCAATGAAGCTGATACTGACCTAGCTCACAATGTTATAGCTCATCTAGTTCACAATGTTATAGCCTTACTGAAAAATCTCCCTTTCCCATTTTCAACATTAAAGCAAATCTGTAAGACCCTTCCACATCCAACCCTCAGTGTTAGAAAGTTGCATCATCCCTTCAGTGTTGATAACAAAAACCTTCAGTACAACGTAAAGCTATACAGAACACAGTAAAAGACTATCTAAAGAAGCAAAAGCTGTCAAAGCCTTGTTAATTGTGTAACACTTAACATCACCCTGCAAAAGGGATACTGAAGTACAGCACCATGATAAAGTAAACATTTGTTAAATTAGCATGAAAACAGCAGATAATCTTCAAGTTAACAATAATAATAGAGTCAACTCTCTTGGGAGAACAGGATTAGGAGTAGAAACTGCTCAGAATCCCTAAATCAAAAAGTCATTTAACAAAACAAACTTAATATAATCATATCAGCCATGCAAACAGGAACATCATTTTAGATTTGCGTTTTAAATGCAAATGGAATTACTACAGTGCTGTGGCATTTCCGTGAAACAGTTTCTTGGCACTAGTTCCAGGCCGAAATTATCTAATTTTGACCGGCGTTTGTGACATTACAGCAACAATGTGACGAAAGAAGGATTGGCTCTGTTTGCTTCTAATTGACATCTGCAGTTGCTGGGAGACAATGGCATGTGCTCCTAATGGAGAGTACCTTTCAATCAGTTCAGCAATCAGAAAATAATCATAGTTCTCATACTTGAACACAAAGCACTTACTTAATGTTTTCCAACCTGCTAGAGTCTGGTTTCAAAGTGTTTGAGTGCTTCACCATTTTGCACAATGTGATCACCAGGAAGATAAGATTCAGCTGTCAAAACAGATAAGAATGAAATTAAACTACTTCAAGTAATAGGCTGAATAATGATGATGTTACAGACTAAACAAAACCCCGGTAGTTTATTTTCAAATACGTAGTGCAACTGGGTAACTATATCAGACAGTCTGTAAAAAGTGACTGCAAATATGGATGAGGGGAAAAAAAAGTTATAGGTCACTTCATCTTTCAAATTCACATCATCATGAACCACTATATTTATCTCACGTCCAATGTCTTTGTCAGTCCAGGTATGTCTTCCAGCTTGTTGTGCTTGGCCCCTGTTCACCTTCACCTGTCACCTCTGGCCTTGTTTCCCATTTCACTGACCTCCCTGGGACTACGCTTACCCCTTTACAGTACTATTTTAGTTGTCCTTTCTTTACCCTGTCCTGCTTCTGGAATGTTTTTTGCCTTTGCTGGTTTCTCCCTGTCCTTTTTTTATTCCCTTTTGTTCTCAAAAATCCCACTCGGTTCTTGAAAACAGCTTAAATGTAACTAAAGAAAAAGAAAGAAAAAAAGAAACACAAAGATGCAGCAAATACATCAACCTTAACAGTGCCACAGACATATGCTGGTGGTGCACCCTCCTATTGCCCTCTTTCCCTTTGTAGTCTGGATTCTGTCAAAGCCAGACTGCATGAGACTTGAAGGAAAGTACTATGCTGTCTTATTCTTGTTGTGTCATTCATATAGATAACAACAGGGAGGATACTGAAGGTAATTTTTTATAGTTTTCCTATTGTGAAACAGAATCACAGGTATCAAAGATACTAGGTGCCTTCTCCTATTGATTTCAAAGCATGTGAAGAGCATAAGTAAGCCAAACACAAGGATGCAGTAAGCCAAAACCAAGGATGCTTGAAGAATACAGGCTGAAAAGTGGTATACACTTATTGTGAGTAATTAGTATGTGCTGTCCTATATCAGGCAAACAATTCAAATAAAATTGTATGTTTGAAAACAGTAAGAGCTATGTCCTTCCAAGGAGAAGACACACATCTTTATCTACTAGTACAATGGTCCACAAGAAGTGGATGAACTGATAGCCAAGAGAAAATAGAGGAGTATGCTTGGACATCCTTGTAACACACATATTACATTATAACCCGTTCTTACAATACCCCATCTATATCTGCAACTGATTACTGATGAAGAATGATCAAGCCCAGTCTCATTTTGGGGAGCCTTTGGTTTGAGACAGCATCAAAATTCTTTTTGTAACACTGGGGATACCAGTTCATACCAGATGTGTTCCTATAGCTGTGCCACAGTGGTCAGAAATGTCACTCAGCTCCTAATAAAGAGCAGGCCTTAACAACCTCAAAAAGATGAGTATTTTAAAGGCTCTGATCAGACTCTGTTACTAAACGTATTATAGAAATAATTCCTATTGCTAAGGGCTTTTATCACTGCTGTTGCTGTCTCCAAATCAGGATGGACAGTATTATCTATAATGCAGTTTTCAACACCAGAACAGTGTTTGGAGACCTTTGATATCAATAGTTTTTATTCAAAGTAAAACATTTTTACAACTGTACCTTGAGATTAATACAAAAAGTGTATGTGATACAAACAACAAAACCAAGCTTTTATACTTTGTGTTTCAAGAACTGACAAAAATACTTAACCTTTAAGTGAGGGTATGTACGTGGTATAGGTTAAGCATGATTTCCATTGCTGCAAAATGTAATCGAAGTGTTAATATCTGACAAACCCCGCCGATTACTTTTTATGATTCTTACAGGCAATGACTAAGCAATTGAGAAACACTTCATTATATCACTGTGATCATTTTGTTTCTCTTATCTATGTTTCCACTGTACTGCGTAAGTTCTTTGGGTGAAGAAACAAGTTGCTTCTCTCCCTGGCCTCTGCACCAGACAGCACAGGGACTCTGTGCATGACCTGGCCCTCAGTTCCATGCCTTTGCAGGCAAACTTTATTCTTCTGTATTTGAAAAAGTTTTTTGCACAGTTTGGTAGCTGACATAACATGAACTTCTCCAGCCTGCTTAAAATAATATAACGTCAGTTTACTTTCTGTGAAAAGAAACAGATTAAGAGCTAAGACACATGTCCCATGCCAATCCTAACATGTAAATCAACTTTGGCTACAACCTATGCAACTGGGAGTGCACAATCCAGTTCAGAATAGTATTTACAGCACAGCTGGAAGTTAATCCTTGCCTAAATAGCTACCCTGGAGTATCCTGCATTGTACTAGCTACATCATTCCTGGATCAAAACCTCATAGATATGGCTTAGCCCATAAATGACTGCCTTATGAAATGAGAGGTTTTTATCCTCTGCTTCTCTGTATGACTGAAGGTTTGACATATGAAAACAAAAGCTTGCATTTACATACTGAAGTTCCTTTGGTGACTTGCAAGCAGACACAGCCCTACCCCAGAGCCTGAGCCAAGCTCCAGCATATTAAGCAGGTTTTACGTAGATACTCATCTCTGTCTGTATATATGTCCTTGCTGGCCTAGAGCCTTGCTGGCCTAGAGCCTTTACACAGAAGTTTAACAGACGCTTTAATATGAATATAGGTACAGACCCCCAAAAGCAGCCACAGAAATAATAATGCTGTATTACAGCAGCTGAAAAAGTCCTTCCAAGAAGAAAAGAAAAAAAGCAAAATATTGTACTTTGCAGACAAAGTAACTATGACAACAGAGCATATGATACCTGTTTTTCCATCATGGTGAAATATTGCTTAGTTTTCAGTTTCAGCAGTCAAAAGACCATGTTTTGCCACTTGTTCAAACATGCTGGCATCTCTGTTACACATTATATCATTATCAAAAGCCTATTTTGCTCACTTACAAATAATGTAACCAAATCTTTCTATAGATTCGCTTTTGGCTTCCTTACTGCTTTTCATCTAGAAATTGACTGTTTTCAAAGAACTCATGAGTTGAAGATTTTTAGGCATCCTGCCATTTGATTACACAAGGCACTAAGCAGTGAGGGAAGGAAACTTGTTGGAGAATAACTACTTTTAGAAGGAATGGCTGAATTACTTTTCTTGGTGAGAAATATGTGAGGGGAGAAGGAAACACACTTGGTGTTTTTGCATTCATTTGTACCAGCTCTATATAAGGAAAACTTTCAGCCCTGAGCAACTTGGTCTGAGCTCAGAGTTGAGCCTGTTTTGACCACAGACCTCCTGACATCAATTCCATCCTGAACTGTTTCATGACTGTGTGAGGACTGAACTGTTACTATCTAAGTAAATGAATCTATAAATGTTTTCCAAGCTTGACATATAGCATGCATAGGACACCTTCCTTTAAGAGGAATGTTCACCACAAACTTGCAGTACTGTAGGGTCACATAAAGGCCCACATGAATGGCAAGATGGGCTTTTGAAAGCATACATCAGCCTCTGACAGCAGTGACTTTCTCATCACTTCATATAACATAACAGGCTAGTGATTGGCTGGACCTCATCCTGACCACTGGGCTGCATCCCAGGTGAACCAAAATCTGCACCTGAACAGTACCTCTCTTCTTCAATGGTAACAGAAAATGTAAATACATTGTATGAACACACACACAGTCACAGCCTTCCACACATCTTAAACAGTCGGGAAATTATACCTTTGATAAAGTCAGAAAAATCTCTTTCATGCCGCACTTGTGAAAAACCAGACCAGTGTTCTTTCAAAGGCTAAAAGTAGGAATTTGTAAGTTTTGGATCTGAAGATTCTGTTGTGATACTGAGAGTGACAGAACATGCAGATACAGTAGGTGGAGCTATGATGTGACATCTCTTAAAACATTAGCTGATAACAATAAGCAAAACTTGGATTGATGGGATTTCATAAATGTATCAGGTTTTTTGCTGTAATTTCTAAAATATATTACCCGCTATAACAAACACGATAGTGGATTACATAGAGGACTAGTTTGATCTACACTCTGATTTTACAAATATATGTAAAAATAAAGAAGGTTATAAGAGCACCTTTTAAAATACCAGTTCCTGCTTGTCTCTTAATGACAAGTGTAATTTGGATAGAACAAAGAAAAGGCAACTGCATATATATTATTAAATAACATGTAAATACTTAAAGCATCTAAAATTTGAAGATCTTTTATGGTAATGATCAAATGAAGCAGCCAGGAAGATCATGCTTCCTTCATAGCCAACACACAGAGGGCCATATCTGGTTTGGAAATCAGAAGGTACCCGGTATGAAAAATAATGTAAGGAGGAATTTGGTGTTTCTGGCACCTGAAAATACGTAATTTTGAGTGGGACTGACTTCAAGTCAAATTAACTTTTTAAAACAGTGGATGTAATAACCTGCACAGAAGACTGATGGATTCAAATTAGTTGCAGGTACAATGAATTAGTAGCCAAATAAAGCTAGATTTTGCAATAATTATGATAAATTTCCCCCTATGAAGAATAGATAAATACCATTTATCAAGTGTCTACTACAGAAAGATGTGTGTGCATTATTTACATACATAAGTTTACAGATACAGTCCATTTTCATACGCAGAGCTGGATTATGTGTGCATCTGTATGTCCACATGCACTGACTGCTAAAGTAATGCCCCAACCTGAGTGAAAAACGTTAATTCCTATGTTAATGGAACAAGACATCTTAGGAATTTTTGCTTAAATAACCTCTGGTAGCCTAATCTCTTGGCTCCATCTGCGAGAAGGAAACTCCAGTGGTTTTGGCTGAATTAAAGTCAAACCAACATCACTCATTCCTTGGAGATGAATGAAAATGGATCTACACAGAAGTCAAAATACTCGGGCTTTTCTGACCACAGATTACAGGAGTGCACTGTTTGTTTTATAGCCATGAACCTGCTCAATTGAATCACGTCTGCCTGAGCTTAGCAGCTTAAAATTCATTCCACACAGCCTGCAGTGCTGACATGGATATGATAAGACAGAAGAACAGAAACACCACTCTGAAGTAACCTAGCTGAACTGCACATGTTCTGACCCTTTTTGAACTCCCCAGAGCTTTTGTTACCTGGCAAATGCAGCTCTAAAACTGTTCTTGTATCTCCAGATCTTTGCTCTTAGCCATGCAGAAGCCTATTTCTCTCTGGGACTGGCAGGGAGAGAGGTGCTCTCTGAAGGCTTCTAAATGAGTGTGCACACTGAACTCTTACTGAACTGAATTAATTATTAAAGATGCAGATGGAGCTGTCCAAATGATAAGAACAGCTCCTGACGTATCATGATCCAAGCTTTCATTAAACCATTTCAGGCATACTAATGGTTTCCCACCGCTCATTACTTACATGCTCTTTTCTCATAGATATAATAACCCTGGTGCCCAGAGGCATGACAGGCTATGGAAATAGTGAAGTAGAAAGTTCCTTAAGAGATGTACAGAGGAACTTCATACTTTCCCCTTGTATTTCCCATCCTCATTTTGAGGAAACCTGTATACAGATACAAGAGCAAATGCTTATAAATGCAGAGAAACTGGAAATTAAACTAGTAAGCAATACTGTCAAAATGGAGTTTATGTGCATTGACAGTACTATTAAACTGAGAATCATAGAAGTGATTTGATGAACACGTTTAAAAGCCTACCAAGATAAAATTCTCACGCGCTACTGACACTAAGTAAGCTACACTACAAATACAGCTCTTCAGTTACACTGCACATGACATACTATTTCTCAGCCATTACACTTCTCACACTTCTTTCTCCAGTCTCTCTTGCTTTCTCAGTTGGGACGATTAGAGGGCAAAGCAATTGCTAGAGAAGAATTACTCCCAGGAACTGTGCTGTGATTGCTACCTGCTGTTTCATATTTTTGAAGTTGGGAATACTGCTCCCAAAGGCCTTTTGCGTCTCAGCCTAAATGATTTGCTGGAGGATAATAATGTCATGGCCAGTAAATAATAGTGAACTATGTCTGTACATGGTCAATATGATTAAATGTCCTTCACCTCTATTCTCACTCTGACCTGGTTATAAGGAAGTGAAAAAGCCTTCAGCAAAGCCCAACACTTCCCATGTGAAATGTTACTTTAAAGCAAGGGAGAGAAATAGAGGTGACTTATCAAAATACTCCCAGTAACAATAAAATAAAAAGCTAGACACAAAAAGCAAAATTATCACCACACAATCAGACTCGAGGTAACTGAACTATTGTGGCATGAAACTTACAACAATTTTCTAGTAATGATCATAACAACTGCAAGAAACAACTCTGTTTTGAAAAAGACTGTCTACCATACTAAAAATACTAAGAACATCTTTCAACTGTAGGTCTAATTGAAACTTGATTTAATTTAAATGCATTTAGAATAAACTCAGTACAATTATTACGGTCTATAGTTTAAATCTTACAAACGCTGTAATTTTTCTAATTCAATTCACATACACGTGAGTTTTGGCATCTATGTCTCTTTCTTAGAAAATATGCCAATGAACTCAAACAACAATGAATACAGCACAGCTGTCTTTTCTTAAGTGACTGTTCAAGGACTGAAACAGTTTTTGACATAAACAGAGAGTAATCCCAACCTAAATATACATAAGCTTATTTCAATATTGAAGATACAAGGAAGGTATAAACTACCTCAAAAAGAATGGCTGGGTACAATTTCTGTAGAAAGTTCCATCATCAAAGTATCAATTTATTTTTATAAGGAGAAGTAACGTAAACTATAAACTACAAGAAATGTTAAAACAGTACACCTATACATCAGATCATAGATCTACAGAAATCAGAAATTTCAAAATTATGCCTCATGCATGTGCTTCAGGCTGAAAAAAACAATAATGGCAAAATCCAATTCCTGAATTTGGGAATTCAAGTGAACCAAATTTCTGTTAACAGTTCACAACTCTAGTATGGCATAAACATAGAGGAACAGGTAACTATTTGGACCTTCAAAAGCATGAAAAATGAATTCTTATTTCCAAACTATCAGCAGTTATGAGAAAAGTTCTCTGTGTAAACAGGCTATGCCCCCAGCACAGCCTTCTAGAATATTTCCACAGTACAGCCAGGCTTTAAAGATACTGAACTAGCAGACGAAAGCAAGATGAATCAAAATGCACATCTTGCATTCACTTTCCTTCTGCAGAAGGACTCCTATGTTCTGCAGTGGTGGTATTATTAGTCTGAAGTAACAGGGAGACATTTTCCCTGGGTTGACAGATGACTATGTGCTTTTTTTTTATCTCAAAGCACTCAGAGAACAGATAATTGAGGTATGAACACAAGATATTTTAAATGGACGACGGGGCACACAGCTACGAATGTACATACGGGTGTGCATGCATATGACTTCATTCAAATGACTGCAATACTTTCTACTGATTGCATAATATTTTGTTATTTATACCAAAATAGATGAATTTATGTCTGACATACATTACATGTAACATAAACACACATAGAAGTAGTCATGGAAAATGTGCACATGCATATGCAAATGCATATGCAAATACTGTGTAAGTATAATGAAATATAAGATCTATTTATTCAGTGTGTTAGAACACCCTTTTGAGATAATTATGTTGGATAATTAGCAGTTAAATTCTGGAACATGCACAATAGTGACTCAATTGAAAGCAATAATAATGGTTCCTTTAAAAAAAACCCTGTGTTTAGTACTTCATTGATTTTTCATATGACTACACATGTCAATATGACCTTCAGTGTTTCAAGCCATTAGATAAAAATGGCTACGCTAAAGCGTCACCACAGCTCTGACAATTAATCATTTGGTCAGCACTCTTTAAAGATTTCTAAACATTTATATGACCACTGGTCACATTACAAATTGTTTATAAGCATTTTCATGAAATGTCTTGTGAATGAGGATGGTATTGACTGATGTTATTAAATCTTTTTAACTTCTGCTGTGAGGCAACCTGAAAGGAAAGTTAAAAACAAAGTTCTTACCAGAATAATAAAGGTAACAGGTCCAATGAAACTCCAAATAAAATAGTTATCTACATGAAGCCAGCAACTATTGTGGAAAAAAAGAGAATCAAAAGTGAAAAACTGCATTAGTACCTCAGTCCAAGAAAAGGAAAGTGCAAAAATACTTCTTAAGCTAACATTTTGCCAGTAAACAATGATAAACATTGCACAGCACCACTTAGCCTATGGACAATTTTTCCTAACCTGATGTTCTTCTGATGAGTCCTGTTTAATAACATCATTGAACTTGAACTACATCATCAGGAATAGCTAACATATAAGAAGCAGAAAAACCAAAAGGAACTCGCCCTCCTTTCAGTCAAAAGTTTTGGTTACAGGTGCTATTATGGACAACGAATTTAACATCAGTAAGTATTTGTGCTTTTCCATGTAATCTTCAAAATCTGCTTTTAAGTTTCTATCACATGCAAAGTGCTTACTCCTGAGGAATGAGACAGAAAGTGCCATATTTTACTGAAAAACAATATGGTATAAATAATATGTCACAAATGGGAGTTGAACAGTAGAGAAAGTATACATATGATACCAGAGTAGATGACGTGTAAACCTATCAGGGCTGACTTAGCGATTCATTTTTCATACAGCTCAGTTCCCTGCTGAATTGCTCTTATTTGTCTTTCATCAGTAGCAAAATCAAGCAGCTTTCTCGTAGTCAACAGTATCGTCCCATTCTGTAACTAATTTCATCAAAGGACAAAGTAAACACTATTGGAAGGCAAATTCATGCCTCCAGCAACTCAAATCCTCAGAAATGTTTTCTGTCTACCTTCTGTCACTTTCTATATATATATCCATATTTTTGTAAATAAAAGGCAGTGGCTAATTTTAATCCTGCTCTACTCGCCTGATAAAATATTATCAGAGTGAAACATATGGGTTGAAATATTGTACTGTCATAATTCAGGACAAGAGCTAGCTAGAGGGGCAGTTGAACAAAGAGATCTAATGAAGCATCAGCTTAAAACTGGGTGGTTAGGCCTGTCAGAGACTTTAAGTTGAAAAATTTTACTTAATATACATCTGAGGCCAAAAAGTTATTTACTTTTTCAATTTGTTTCAGGTCAATCTTTTGTGTTAAAAGAAAGACCATAATTTAGAATCAGTCTCTCTAGAGTACAAATCCTCTGAACCTAGAGAATTACAAAAGACTTGATTGTAATTTGTGCACAGCATTGCCATTCTCTTACCAATAAAGCTTTCAGACGGTATTTTAGTCTGTCAGAGACCCTCTGACAGCTAATAGGCTTTAAAAAATTATTCACTTGAAAAACACTCAGGTCACTTGCAATTACTTACGCTTTCTCTGTTCCGTAGCTCTTATAGTCAATAGCTGCTGAAACACCAACGACTGTAGCAGGGAAGAGGTAGCCAGCAACGTAATAGTACTTCTTCCTAGAATATTCACTTTCAAATACTTCCACTAACATCAGATAAAGCTGCACTCCTTCCAGGCACATCCAGGCAAAGGCTGCCAGGAAGAAAAAGTGTAACAGACCTGCAAATATTGGACATGCAATCTGCAAAGAAAAAGAAAAACAGAAGTATAAACCACAAAATCTTCACACTGTTTCATCTCCAATTAAACAGTGAGTTATAGAACAGCATATACTTCTGTCAGAGATCTTTCACAAATTCAGGAGCATTTTCCCTACCTGAAAACATACATTTAATATTTGAAAATACTAATATGTGCTCAGTAGCTACAGAAAGTATATTAGCTAAAGTGTGTCAACTATGATAAGGAAATTGCTCCCTCACCCTCCACTCTTCAATTGCAGAGTGGACTTTTTAATTTTATACACATTAATTTTGAAACTGACACGGATTTAGGACTTACAGTTTAGATAATCTGAGACATGAACAGCTGGTTCTAGATGCACAGTGAAATATTGCTTATTTAAAATTATGAAGCAGCCATCAAGCCATTTTTACCTGCTCTAATTTGGTGGTTTCTACTGTCATAACAGAAATCAATCTGAATCCTCCCCCCTTTGGCTGAGTTCTGGATGAAACCTTACTGATTATTACATTTCAACCCAATGAATCTCCAGATACAATTTCACCAATACTGCCAAAAATCCTGCATGCAGGCGTGGTGTAAAAAATGTATAAATATATAGACAAGGCTTTGTACTAACATATATCTATATACAAAAAAGTAGTTAATAGCTGTTCAGATATATGAATGTAACAAAAAAAAAATGTTCCTAGTACATCAACATTTAATCTCCTCTTTCAAAAGTTTAACACCTGCTTCATTAATAGCTGATGTTTCTCAACTGAAAATGAAAAATATTGCAGTAAGTGGGAAATTAAAGCCACAGCGATATTTTTGATGGATGTAAATACTATTTATGAACATGGCTGTCATACTTTCACACTGAGCTTTTACTTCAGCCTTGCTGTGTCAGAATGCTGAAAGCTTGGCGGTGTTGTCATGTTTTAATTCAAATCCATTTCAAACAGTCATTTCAGAGAACAAGATCAGTACACACAGAGAAAACTTACCTTGTACTCTGTCTTATTGATGCCTATTAGGAAAATGAACTCAGCAATGAATAGGTTGATACAAAGGTTCTTGTGAATAGTGTTACGATCACTTTGCAGGCCACGGAAAAAACAGAATGTGAAGATGCAGATGGCCAGGCAAACAAGAGAGATGACAATTCCCACCCAGGTGATGACAGTGAGGAGCAATTCGTGCACTCCATCTTTGTACTAGAAATAACCAAGAATGGAGAAAATTAATATGACTCTTTATGAGTATAAACAAAAACCTATTTTCACTAATAGCATCCAAGAAAGTTACTTGTTCATTACATGAGATGGACAAAATGCACTCAGTAATTTCTCAGTCTCAGATCACCTTTCCAGAAAGAGCAAGATTAGGGTAAGGAGAAGATGAGCAGGTCTGAGAGGAAAATGTAACTATTTTAGCCAGATAAGGTAGCATTTTTACTTTTCCTACAGCTTGCTATAAACTCGCCAGACAAGAACAAGTAGAGAAACGTAACACTCTGAAAGTGCCACTAGGCTCTGATGCAAAGAAAGAGGAGAGCTTTCCCTGGGACATGCTGTAAGAGTACACGTTCCTTACTACAGAGGTCCACAGCAGAGAAGAAAGCAATGATTTACACAACAATTAAGATAAAATGCAGAATGTTACTCATGTTAATTCCAGCTATAATCTCACATTTAGCTGAAGAAAGTTCCCTGCTTCAATTGTGACAGAATCACTTTTGTCATCTTGGTTATCTTTCCAGAGACCTTTCTGAATACAATAGTTTTATGAGAGGCCCCATATCCTTGCAAATACTGCATCTTCCAGGCCCCCTGTCATCCAGTAAAGGGCTGACCTTCCTGCTCTAAAGAGAGCTGGCACTTGAGATTCCAGGGAACAGCCTGAACAGCTGCGCCTACAGATACTCTCCAGTTGTACTGAGGGGAAGTCTGTAAAACAGCTGTAAGGTGGTGGTCAGTAACTAAAATATGACTTGAGGGAAACTCTTGTCCTTCCTTGTTTTTCTTTCCTGTTATTTTGCTCGTAACTTTATGGCTGAGGAAAAAAAGTACTACAGAAAACAAACTGCTTTGGAAAGAGTGGGTAGAAGCTAGTAAGAAACTTCCGCAACTTTGAATCTTGCTAAAAATTTAAAGCTCACTCTTTAAAAGTCCGTTCCCGGCCGATGGCTAGTAACATCATTACCTACCACAATTTCCCGATGAGCCATAAGAATTGCAAAGTTGGTTAGGTGACTGCAAGCACACGTTGTATGAGTTCTATTTGTGTCGACAAGTTTGCAGCCTTGAGTTGACCAGTATCCCATCATAGTCCTCTCTGAGTAGTTCCAGAAGGAACAATTTGCATTGAAATAGTTGTCAGGCTGGGAGATAAAAGGATAACATAAAATGAGGATTTTACACACTAAGATGGCAATAACAATTGTTTAATATGTGTAAAGGGTAATTTAGATTAAACTTTGCATGTTTCAGACATTAAGTTTTTCATCAGCAAAATTGTGGACTGTGTTATACAAGGAAGACATCTAGTTTAAAAGGGACTTTATAGTCCGAAACACTCTAAAGTGTAGTCTCAATTATTGTAGACCCAATTTTAAACAATTACAATTTCCATCTTACAATTTTATGCACTGATGGTACATTACAGCTATCTGTGCTTCCTGCAAACATAATACTGCAAGTTTATTCTGAAGACATATTTCCTGCAACTGAGAATTTGGTAATATGATCTTCTTCCTCTGACTCCCACCTTTGGTCAAGCCAAAATCATGTGAACAGACATCAGGAAAAAGTTCATTCCTCAATGAAAAAAAGTCAAAACAGATTTATAAAAAGAGGTAAAATGAGAGGAAAATCCAACCGTATTTTCTTTATCATGGTAGTGATTATTTACTGTCCCCATGTGAGACACAAAAACAGAAAAGACCAAACTAATGAGCAAATAAACACGTCAAATAAATTACTGTGAAGAAAACGTAAATAACAAACCAAAATACAATACTTTATTCTTCACCGAATAAAAGTATTTAAACAATTTGCACAGGTTTCCAGGACTTGGTCCAATATTAATGCAAAAAGTTAAAGTGTCATTAAAACTTGTCACATCAGACCATCACAAATCTTAACAGCTATTTTCTACCCTGCTACTAAGGTAGGAGTTAATTTTCAGTTAGAAAAAAATTAGTCATTTACATTTTCATGTTGATTACTGAATTAGCTTTCATTAAGAATACACTTAAGTTCTAATAATCACTGAACCACGCTCATTTAATTTTATGTTCATAGACTTAACTAAGCTTGTGTCTCTGACCTAGTCCAACATTTAAAATTCAAATGGAAAAAATGTTATTTTTCTGCACTGCTTTTCTCTCTTGCTGATTTTATGACCTTCCCATTAATTCATTAGCATAACTCACATCAATGTGTTCCAGTGTAAAATGCACAGGATCAGTCAGGTACACCCGGCTAGACTCCTTGTTGATAGAGGCTGCAATGACGTGGGAGTTCACTGCGATCGTGCTATTCCGTCCAGCAAAGTCGCTGCCTAACTTTATGGTTGCATTTTCCGTGCTGAGAAAACGCCCTAAACTTTTGTAAATGATGAAAACCAGTTTTGCTAATCCTACAAAAGAAAAAAATCCCATCATCATGCCACAGAAGTCCACAGAAAGACAGCAACCTGTACTCTAATGAACTGACAATAAAGCAGCAGCAAGCAGAGAGACATTTTCAGGCTACAGATTTAAAGAAAAGCAACCAGGTACCCATGAAGTTTGAGAAAAAGCCACAAAGCAGTTTTGTTGTGTTTTGTTTTGATATTTTAACTAGGGGAGGTAATGTAGGTTTTATAAAAGTTAATGGAGTTTCAGTATTCCATGCCCAAGACTCACCATTCCTGCTGTTCTGTTTCACGGTGCTTGCAGAGAGCTGAATAGAGTTCCCTCCTTTGCTGCCCTGAGGAAATTTCAAGTCCTGCACCTGGCCCTCCGTAATGAGCACTGCAACATCCAAAACTAGGCAGACCCGAGGAAAGGGAAAAAAGGAAAAAAAATGGTAAAAAAGGAGACTGCACAGAAAGTCTCTTGGCTAGATTGAGATATGCCACATGACAATATTTCCCCCACTCTTTATTCAGTTTTCTCACACTGCTGTCCTAATTTGCCACCTTAAAGACAGTTCTGAACCACGTGCTGCAAGCACAGTTAGCTTCTTTAACTAAATCCAGTGCACGCTACTAAAATAATGCATTTTAATAATGATAACGTGACATCAAACTTCGTTTTTATGTGTGCTCCCAAAACACTCGCTTAAGAATATCACACACAGATGTTGCAGAGAAACGTTAATTTTGAAGCTCCTAATGTCTATGCAGGATTCTCTGCTAAAAAATTTAAAACTTTAAATATTGGTTTAGATATAAAGTTTTAAAACAGTCAGCAAACAAACACCTATGTATACTTATGCCATGTGTCTAGCTAAATAAGTATTTGTGTCTAAAAAAAATTCTAGCTTTTTTCCTAAATCTGAAAAGGTTTATAGGTTATGGAACGTATAATGGTTTACAGAAAACCATTGTTTGGTTCTTCTAAAAAAATATTTAAATAGAAGAATTAGATGCCACTCAGCCTTACTTCAAGTATGAACTTTCTAATACATTGTATATTGGGAAGCTTTCATGGGATTACCACCAAAAGCTGGATTCCCTTGGATATGTAAAATCATATAGGTCACAGTGGTCAATTTGTTGACAAATATCTGCATTAGATTAAACTGGTTTAACTATAGGTCTATACTACAGACAGACAAAATGTATGATATTAGGGAATTATTTCTTTCTCTAAGCCACACATATGTATGTACGCTGGGAATTCAGTCTTGCATGGCATCAGTAATGTGTTACTATGACTTCAAGACAGCTTATCACAAGAAGTGATATTCAGACAAGTCTACTGAGCTCCACGGAACTGCTCGTGAACATCCCGAGAGAGATTTCTCTGACTCTACCCACATTCTTTCAGAAACAACTGGTGCAGTTACTTTGATAACGGACTGTAACACCTTTCCCCATCGTCTTCCAGTACCTGTCTACTCAAATTAAAAACTAGGCAGAATCATCTTCGACAGTTACAAATATGCAGACATTGAAACGTGAAAAGTCTCATTTCTGCAGTCTATTCCAAGTCTCCATCTCACTACCCCTCAAATTAGGAGACGTTCAGCTTCCTTGTGCCTCACTGAGACTACATTAATCTCTGTAATAGGATGAAGGAATTTTAATTTTATGCATAGCAATGATTTTTGCTTTAACACATCCTGCGTACCACTATCTGCACGTCTCTAATACCAAACTCCTTCATTTCTCTGTCACCACTTAAATTCCAAATTATGCTCCAACTATCTTCAGCTATTTTGCAGTCTCTGAAGCATAGCTATTCTGCATTATGGGAGATGTAGTTCACTGAACACATTTTTACCTGAAGGCAGTCATGTTTAATATAAACATTTGGCCTATGTTCTGAGTGCCTAAAATATCTAACTGGCAGAGTACGTTGCAAAAAAGTAATATAAATTCATTAGGAACAGTTTATATATAACAGGAAAGCATTTTTGAAGCTCCACAGAAAGCAGTTAACTCAAAAAACCCATACTCTGCCATTTAAGCACTCTTCATATCCATACATTCTGCTAACAATTTTTCAGTAGTAAATCAACTTTGCAACATCAACCACTTTCCATTTTATACTGTATTAATGACACTAAAGAATAATGCTAATTTTGAAGAGCTAAACAAGAAAAGTGTGTCTCACCCACTTAGGATCATTTACCTTTCCACCAAACGTTACGCAGCTTCACTTTCAAAGAGTATGTCACTCTCTGGAGTGTTTTTCCTAATTTTGCATAAAGCAATGTGTAAGACTAACTTATGCTTGAAAAGACATTTACTTACCGATATTTTCTGTGGGCATTGAGACTCTAGTTGGTTCTAAGAGATTATCAGCCAAGACAAAAGCCCCTTCTTCTAACGTATCAAGTAGCATTGTGGCTGCATGGGCTTGTTCTGAAGAATTCATGTCCTTCCAGGACTCCAGAGCTTCAGGCCTGAGCAGGTTGTCCACTGTATCCACAATTGCCTGCATTCATTAGAAAACTATCATTAGGTCTGATTGCCCTAGGCAGCTGGAGAAAATTTCCAACGTTATCTGGTGACAATTATAATACTTAACTGTCAGAATGATTTACTGTGATTTAATGGCACTAGAAGACTATTTTCAAAGTAAAAATATTTTCCATCCTCTCGCTGGATAAGTGCAGTTAGCCACTAGCATTGTGTGGTCTCTAAGCGGTAAACATGCAGATTTGACTTGCCTCATATCAGATAAAAAGACAGTCTTATTAATGTGTTGAAAAATGTAAAAATAAATGCCAGAAGTTTTGCCTGAAGCTTTCATCTTGAAGTTAATGTCAAAATGCATAAATTCTATTTAAAAATACTAATGCCCAAATTGGCATTCTGCATTTTAGCCTGCAATGACAATAATACGCTTCTGGAAACTTAGCCCAACTTAGCAGCCACAGCACTATAAACTACTTGTCTATGACAAACTGCCTTCTTTATTAGAGAAGGCATGAAATGAAGCTGACTCAGTGGATATAAATTAGCTTGGGCTATTCCCACTCCCCCTCCTGATTCTGTACCTGTTCATAGGTACTTAAAAAGATTACTAACTCCCATTCCTGCACAAAGGTCAGTTAAAAAAGGAAATCAATAGAGCAAACAAGATGTCCACTGGCTGTCCCTGTTATCAGTGAAGGCAAAATTGTAAAACTGAATAAACCCGCCATTTTAAAAATCTTTCTTGTAACAAGTCTATGTTCATGTTTTAAGGCTCATTAAGCTGCATATAAAGCAACAGTAAGTAAGGAAGAAGAAGAATTCCATGACATGATTACATTATTTTTACAAAATAATCCAAAGTAATCAGTTAATCAATTGAAGGCAGGCTCTTACATTAATGCATAATGTATCTGTGCATTGAGTATGCTGTGCATTGAGTACACCATGCATTGCTGAAACACCCTGTTTACTCTGTCCCATTTACCTAGTCATAATGTGTCATTAAGCACATATATAATTTGTTTGATCAATTTAAAAGCAATGGGAATGGAAACAGAACACACTGTACAAACAGAAAGATGTCGGTCTCTTAATACTGTATTGTGCAAATAAACGAACAGGAAAAGTTGGTCAAGGCTATTTTCAGAGCAACATTAATTAACCCAATCCATTTTAATATCCTCTTTCTGTCTGTATTGTGAGCCACCACGACCTTCCTGGCAGGTGGAAGATACTTCGAAGTGGCATTAAAGCGTTTTTTCTTTCTCTAATGGAAGACAGAATAGTCAAAATGCTCACACTGATACTGCTGCAGCCATTAACTAGAGTGGAACAGAAATTGGTCTGCAGAGGCCAGATTCATTAGTCACCAAGAAATACAGATTGGAGCCTCTAATCTGAGGTACAAATGAATCCTCTGTCACAAAGTGGGAACTTGCTTCATTTGCATAGTGTAAGTCAGCTTTTGATTTGTAATTTCAAGAGGTTTATTAGTTTTATCTAAGCAGAGAAGCCCATTTGAGACCTACAGAAAATGACACTGGCTGGAAATTAAGGTTGCGCCATGGTTTCTTGTGTGTCTACATATAGCACTGACAGTATGTATTTGTTAATGTGAAATGCTTTTTATTTATTATGGGATAATCTAGCTCTGCATTTTTCCTGTTGAAAATGATCTCCTGCCTAATATTTCTGAGGTGTTCTTTCAGGCAGAGGCGAGTGTGCAGTGGGAAGATCACACAGCTGGAGTAACACCATTACTGCTCATGTTCATGTTTTCTCTTAAAAATGAAGTATGAAAATCCAAGGCCACTCAAACCATATCTGTTAGATTTCCCTTTACTACTAAAAATATTTTTTAATAAAAAGCTATGACTTTTATTATTATGTGAGGAGTGAATTTCTTTCCAGAGTTTTGTCTCTTTTTGGCAAATTTTTGCATAACTGGACATCTCCCATCCACTTTGAGGGATGCAAGATAAAAGCCAAAGTGCCCTGTATATAGAAATGTCTCTTAACTAAGAGTCTGAATTATTTTATTATGTTGCGAAGTATTTCAAAGTTCTTTTCAAAAATCATTTACATTTTATCTCAGAGGGTACAAGTAAAAATCAGTAGTTTTAAAAGAAACTTTGACAAGACGTGCAATAAAATTTTTCAGACAGACATGATTTGTTCTAGGACTTTTTCTCTTCTTAGAGGTGCGAGGTGGTGTTACTGGCATTGTATCGTAAAGCAGAAGCTGGCCAATGCAGACTACCACCATTCTACAGCAGAGGAAAGAAACTGAAAATCAGTTAGCAATGTGTTACATGCCTTCCATATAACCTGGTTAATGGGACAAGTGTCACAAGTGTCACACATTTTACTAGTAAAGTTAGAGAAATGTTTGTCTTTGCATTTTATCCTGAAGTAACCGAATCTGGCTTTTGTAACAACTTTTAAAACTGTAAGAAAGAGTGATGTCACAACATATAAAAATACACAAAGAACAAAGCAGACTATATAATGTACATTTTTCATGCAAGCAAATTAACTCTTAACAGTCTTTGATATAAAATACTATCCAAGCTGAAGTAATTTCTGTTAAGTTGCTAGCTTTTTCCCCTACCCAAAGTTGTATTATGAGAGAGATGTTACTTCCAATTCAGATAACCATTTCTGCTCTTTAAGTTTTGAACAAGTTGAGGCAAAAGAGGTATAAACTTTGATCTTTAATTTTTTTTTGAGTGTTATACCTGTGCAAAGCCAACATTTGTACAGTTGATATGGGGCACAATACACATTTATCAAAGACTGAAATACATAGGATCATGCAGCAAGATGATAAAGCGTGGCAGGTTGCTGAAGCAGGGAGAAAGCAGGGTGACAGCACAGGAGAGATACCTTAAGGTAAGCCCTGCATGTCTTCTCGCGTTTTTGGAGCTTTTTAGTAAAAAAGAGAAAATGAGAAGTTAGACAAGTCCTGTAAAGCTCAAAAATATCAAGAAGTTAAGTCTGGTGCTTCAAAACCTGAATTTGAACTACAGCCTGGACATTGATCTTGCTTCTGTCCAGCAATGACTATAAAAAACTATTGCATAGGCAGCATTTTTCCCCAGCCTTTACACAGGTGCCCAGGTATCTTTGCCCAAGAGGTGCCATTTGTGTGAAAAGGTCAAAGGAGAGTATTCTTGTGTGGACATTTGATCTGTCTCTAGGAAAACTCTTCTAATGGCAGCTAGGGCCTGTAAATGAAACTATTGCCAAAATAACAGAGTACATGGAGATCTCTAAAGAACACTGAAAAGATGTTTCGTTTGTAGCCTGTTGAAAAAGCCGATGCAAGGAAGAGGCCGAGAAAAACAGCATTTCCTCTGAGAAAAAGAGGAATGGTAATAACACTTGTGATTTGTATTTAAACCACGAAGACATGAATTTTCTCTGAAATGTTTCTCTGAGCATCATTCCTGAGAAAACATACTTGTGTTTTAGATACACACTTTAAAGTATTTTTATAAGATTGACTGTAAGAGGTGTTGGTGTCTTTAAAAGGCTAAGAAAGTGCTATTATTCTGCAGGAAGTTGGATTAAAATAAAACCCTGCACCTATGCAGAATCCTACTGATTTTATTACATGTTCAGGGTTAAAAGGATCACTGGATAAACATGCTGATTTGTTACAGAATTTCTGAGAGCTAACGCCCATTTCCTCACACTAGTTATAATGCGTTCCAGATTTTAATAAGAGACACAGCTATGTATTTTAGGACCAGGCAGCTATTGTAAATTATATTGTATTCCCTAAAGAAGGTAATTGCAACTTTCCGCTGCGTATTTACTGGTGTTTTCTCTTACATGTTTATTCCAGTACTATAAGCATGTGAAACAAAGTATAGATTAGTAACTCTGCAAGAAAAAAAATAAAGAAACCAAGGGCAATGGTTATCCCAGCAGGGGGAAGTGACAGGAGGTGTGTACCTTGTTATAACTCCTTCCAGCAGAGTCTTTTTCACTGGGCCGCAGTTCCTGCAGCTGAGCATCCAAAATGTCCACAAGCTGCTCCATCAGCCTCACTGATGAACTAACATCACCAGCAAAGACAGGACCTTTGGTGTGTTTAGCCAGTTCATTGGCCAGACTAGCAGCATTTTCTCCACTTCTGATCTGAAATGACAAGTTTATATTATCTCAGCAGGGTCCCTTGTTCTGCTTGCGGCTCCTAATTCCAATTCCCCATGTACCTTTGTTGTGGTGAAATAACCATTTGCACATACACTGAAATCTGTAACTAATTGAGACCAATAACGTTCTCTTTATCTCAGAAGATTAAAGGTTCTTAGATCCGTGACACACAAAAGCAGTTCTTAACAGCCATCAAAACCAGAAATCAGACTGGGACTTTCGGGCTAGATATTCTATTCATCCTCACTTTTATTTTACTGCCATTATCAGACAGTAAGAAATCTATTTGTTCGTACTAGTGCTTGAGGCATTTGAAAGTCAAGTAGCCTGGTACTGACAACAAATTATCCAGTTTTCATAAACTTAGTACATCTCAGTAGGGAAGAAAAACACAGAAAATGGCTCTGTGCTCTAATCATACTATTATTAATTCACTCAGAAAAAAATATCTATTTATTACAGTATAATTTTTACTAAACCAAAAACCTTTCCGTATACCAGTTTTTTTGCTGCATGATTTATTATTTTTGTTTTATTAAGCAAATACAGCTTTTGTTTTTTTGAACACCAGCAAAGCTACTTTGCTTTACATAGCGATGAAAACACGTAATCACAGATTCAATACAAGAGAGAGACTGTACCAAAACACACATATGCACACAAAGTACACATAACTCTTTCTACTTTAAATGAGCACAGAATAACAAAGAGGGCTTCAACAAACTGAATTATTAATGCTCAGAGTTAAAATCCTTAATCACCAGTGTACAGCAGATTAAAAGGTTTCAACCAACCTTCTGAGCCAGCTGATTTACCCAGTGTGAGGTGCAGTTGCTAAGATCAGGGCCTTTGGGGTTCCACATTCCAGTTAAGATCACGCAGAGATATGAGGCAGTTCCTACAACAAATATAGAAAACGACAGTGAAATGGAAACCATTTTTCTGCACACATTCAGGAAATCAGCTACACTGGGCTAAGCAATGTTAAATTCTGAATGCCGCTAATGGCAGTAGCTGACAATAATTGACAAAAATGTAAGGAAATAATGCAGATGACAAACGGCAATAAAAAAGTCAGTGAAAAGTACCAGACGTTTTCTGCAAACAAACAAAAAGCCCCTGATTTTTCCTGGAGCTCATCCAGAGGAGAGCTCATAATGAGAAAGGCAGCTGTAAGCATATTTCACAACAGTCCTCAAGCAAAGCCCTAAAATTTGACCTGGATTCTCAAAAGCACATGCACAAGGTAATTCTGCAGTTACGCTCAAATGCCGTTTGCAGATTAAAACTTGACCATTGCCTGTAGATACTGCATTCTCCAAGTAACGAAAAAATCGTGTGACAGGCAGCTTGAGATTAAAAAAACAATTCACCATAAGAGAGCAGTACATTTCTTTTGAAATGTCTGCCTGAGATCAAGATATAATTTTAAAGGCAGTACCTCGTGTTCCTTTGGGGCAAGGGCGTTCAACCATCATTCCTCTTTGTGTCTGAGGCCAGCTAATCCCCCTGGCCTCAGTCGGTTCACAGAATCTCTCTGGCAAAGGGAAAAAACTTGTCACGGGAGGAATTTTGGTTGTGGAAATGGGTGGCGGTGGCTTGGGTCCTCTGCTTCCTTCCTTTGTTCCTCCAGCTAATGTTGTGCTTATGGGACCTTTCTGTGATGTAGTGCTAGTGGTTGACACTGTGGTTTTGTATAGCTCTGCTGAAGAGGTTATTGTCACTGCTGTGGTAGGCACTGCACAGAGAAAATTAGAGTAATAATAAAGTAAATGACTTCAAAATTATATATTAAAAAGTTCTTTAAATGTTATTTATGCAGTTTTACAAGATTCTCTCGTGTATCCTTTCCTTTATCTTAATATTACTCTTATTGCTAGTCTGGGTGCCTAAGATATAACTTTGACTGATACATTTTTTACTCCCAGCTCATACCAGTATGATGTTTCAGCACATTTTCAAAATAATCTCTTCTGCAATAAAAATTTATAGTTACATTTCTAAAGGCTGAAAGGCCTAGTGAGTTATCAGTACATTAACAAACACGCTCAAAGCAATTAAAGGTTTCTTAATCACTTTTGCAGAAGGAGTAACTCAATAGATAGAATCATTTGAATCAGCGTGCCGTAAACAGTGCAGTCCAGCATTAACAACAAAGGTAGTGGGCTGTAACTAACAAGACCATTTAAAAAAACCAGACCCCAAAACTTCAAGTCACCCAGTACACACCTTCCAGGAAAATAATTATGATAACATCTTCCTACCCAGCAGTCATTCTGCTTGAGAGAGCTGCAGCATGCCCGATTAGCTCCAAACAGAAGCGGCACCTAGCATGTACGAGGTGCTCTCATGTTCGAACACTTCAGGCCTTAACATCCCTTTTTGATAAAGCAGGTATGAAGATGCAACTCATTCAAGCCAGCAGCAAGTACTTAGTTTAATCTTTTATGAAACACTAGGATCGGCTTAGGCCAAATCACTTCTGCCTGGGACTCACAGCTGCTCACTCCACTGACCCACGTCGGGAATGCATTGCTGGAGCTGCTGAGGCACAGCCCGAGCTCTGACAAGGTTTTGAGGCTTTGGAGAGATAATACCAGTTAATGCTAGTGGAGAACACAGCCTGGAATTCATGTTCATCACCTTCAACTGTGTATTGAGCAATGGCTGAAATAATGCAAGTGAGCAAAGTAACTGGAACAGTTATCATTAATTATTTCCAAATCTTAATTAGTGTTCACAGTGCTTTACAAGAACATAAAAGTGCAGATCCCTGTCCTGAGAATAAATAAGCTAATACCATGTATTCTTAAATCCTAACTGATACAACAATAAATGACACTAATTTATGATTAACAACAGTGGATAGACTGGCTTTTTTATTTCTTTTTTGTCTTCTTCTGCTAGGGCCCTTGAACTCTGACTTACTGGACAACACGTCTTCTGTAAGTTGAATCAAACAAAAACCAAAGAAGCACTGCCTCACTTTCTTTTGGCAGGTATTTTTTAAGTTAGTGTTTTGAGTAAGATAGACTTTCAGTAGCTTGGCAGATCACAATTATTTCAGAATGCTCTTTCAATTATATTCCAGTTATATTAGGATTCTTAAATATGAATTTATCTTATTTTTACATGAATTCAGAATGGAGTTTTTGAACATCACAATGCAAAGATGTGCTTTTCATCCCTCTCTTGCTCACAAATGAGGAACTTCTTCAGTGCTGTCTTCAGTCTCATTCTTGGCTGCTTGAATACTGTCTGTGTAATTGTGCTGAATTCATGGTGTAGCCAGCTACTATGAAACCTATTGAAATCCTCAGATCTGTTCTGCAAGTACTTGCCTGACATCTTGTGAAACTGCTGTAATTTTCTTTTGATTACAATGCATCTAGCTTTCTAGTGCTTTCCCAATTAACATTTGTCAAAAGTATTTGCAATCACTTGCAGAAGCATCAGGCAACGCCTGCTGAATCAGGTCCTGGGGAACAGAGAACTAGTGGGCACAGAGAATGATGCAGGGGACAACCAATTATTACTATCTATCCCCTAACACATTGTGCTAATTAGTACATATTTAATCACTGAAATGTGTATTAGCATTATTGCAATTACTACTCAAAACCTATAATGTTTAGGATAGCTTTGTCTCAGGAGCAAAATATCACTGTAAGAATTCATAACAACTCTCTTAAGTTCAGCAGTGAGGTAACAATTTTCAGAACATGTTTTGTGCTGCACCCTGAGCTAAAATATTCTGCTGTCACTACTTTAGGTAGGACAATTTGAATGCTACCCATTAAAATCAGTTTCAAAGCATACCAGCTATGATTCAAAAAATGATCTACATAGTAGGACATACTTTAGAAATATATTTGTAATTAACAGTTTAGGAGAAAGACTTCAAAACCACCTCTCACAAAACTGAAAAAAATACAAGCAATTTCTAAGAGAGCAACTTTTTAAGAAGAAGAAGTCAATGTACTTAAGAATATACCAGAAAATTCCAGACAGTGCTGGAAATCTGGGAATATCTGATAAAATATGAAACAACCAAACACATCACTTTAAGGAATACATCCATCACCTTTTAGAAGGCAGATAATTTTGTTTTTAATGACCTCTTGGAGAACATGATCTGCAAGGCCATTCTCCTGAGCTGGAAGACACATGATAGCTGCCACTACCTGATGTGTCTTCTTCTGAAAGTTGAGGGTGATGGCAACTGCAGGCTCACATGCAAGGTCTTGCAGAGCACTTTGTCAATAGAAGATAATGACAGTGATGATTAATATGCCACAACTAAGAAGAACAAACTCCATGTAGAGGTTATTACCCTATTGTTCCAAGCAGCCTCTCTACAAGGCTGAAGATACCTAATTTTGGTCCAACACCAAAAAAGCCACTTTGACAATGTGCGATTCTATTTTTGACTTTTTGGCTAAGCTTGACATGCTGAAGAGAACCCCCAACCTCTTCTTTAAGAATAGGTGTGTCACATTATCAGCTGAAGACTGTCTTTGTGAAACAAAATATATATAAGGAAAAAAGAAGAGCAAATAGGAAGTAAATCCAGAGACTCAAGTTAGGGGTAATTAATTTACATTTGTTTCATGCAGTTACCAACAGCTGATGTAAACAGTTATGCGTACTATTGGTTTCTAAAAATGAAGACACCACTGAAGTAAAACTTAACACCTGTTTAACTGTGTGATGTCTATAGAAAACATAACACAATTGCCTAGGACAGCAGGGGAACAGTAACTTTGTTTCCCCAACTGACAGTGAAGAGCAGATTTAGAGAAGGCACACAAGCTATCTAGTATTCTTTGCCAAGAGGTTTCTATTCTAAGCAGGCATAAAATACATCTTCTAAAAACCAAACCGAGTCAAAACAAAAAAGTCCCCACCCAAAATACAACTCTAATCTTAGATTTAAAATTGTCTTGAAATGCCCAGATGATGCGCTGCTTCTGAAAATACTAATACTTCTATTTTCATCTCCAGCGTATAGGTAATTGTAGAGATCAGCTGCATGCGTTTTTCAGTTAAATGTATTCTCTTATAGGACAGGTATTTCAATGCATTTGAACATGTAAATACCTACGTGCCCACCTTTGTTTTCAAAAGGTGTCATACACTGAGTTGCCACGTAAAGCAATGAAGATCTGAAACCAGTGCAAATCCAGATTTCCCTGCCTAATGCATATTACCACTGTGTGCCTGTTTTCACACTTCAGTGAATAGCAGGGAAGTCACTAACACTCACGTAATTATCTATAGGTTCCAGCTATTATGCTAGCCAGTACTCTATTGAACCTGCCAAATCCCATTTAGCTGACAGTGAAATGTTTGCATAGCCACTTATACATATATACCCTGAAAATGATAACGAGTACGCCACAAAATTAGCAAAATACCTGATCAAGAAATGTGCTATCTGGTCCCTATTATGTTGCCCTTACTTGTACAGCCACTCTTTAATCAACCTGTAGTGTATCAGATTCAATATAACAGTAATGATCTAATTTACTTAACAATTTGCTGCATGACTTCATTGTAGATTCTTGGTGTTATAAAGATTTAGCAGTACTAGTCTCCTACTATTTCAAGCCCTTAGTGATAGTATTTTCCGAGTTTCTGTTCTGTCTACACTCACAACATCCGTATTTTCCTGCAGTGATCCAATAAAACTTAATGATGGGTATCATGGTACAAAAGGGGAGACAACTTTAGTTCGAACAGTTTGCACAGTTAGCACAAATTGGGATGAGTGTAGATGAAATCTCTCCCTAACGCACTAACACAGAACAAAAGGATTTATCTTCTTCTTGTTACCAAGGAAACCCTACAATGTAATGCTCATATTCACTTTCTAGGGTGAAAATTCCCTTCATTCTTCCTGATCTTTTAACTTAAAAATCCTTTAAAACTTCCTGTTTCAGTGAGGATTCATTTGGTCCCTGGGATACCTCCTTTAGAATGAATGTAACAGGACATACCCACTAAATTTACCAAGGATATAAAAACTCTGGTTTATTTCAATTTTTTCATAGTGGCTTTTTGCAGGGCCTAATATATTTTATTTTGTTTCAAATTATGGTTTTCATTTTTAAATGTAGTTTTTAAGCTTAACCTCAGAAAATGTGCTCTTCTGCAATATCCGAGTGGTACTTGTCAGCCATAGCTCTGAAAATCATTTCTGCATCTATGTAGACTCAGATGTAAGACTGAGGTGTAGAAGAGGCTGAATGTTTAACATGTTGCACTGTCTTGGCAGACATGCTGCAAATGCCAGGAGACACAAGCACTGCAGAAATAGGAGGACCCCTCTGAGAAAACTACAGCGTTTCCTCAGCATCAGATGTGTAGACATGCATAAGGACACGGTTTAGTGGTGGACTTGGCAGTTTTGGGTTTACAGCTGGACTTGATGAGCTTAAGGGCCTTTTCCAACCAAAATGTTCTATGCTACATCTATGCATTACAATTCCCATGGGAAGAGAATTAAAAATGACACATGAAGAAGGAGGTGAAGGGAGGTTCTAAGAGCAGCAGACTGCATTGTCAAGGTGAAACAGTAGCCTGGCTGCTGCATCTGCTAGAAGTCTGAACAGTTCTCCTGAAGACTTAAGAAAATAAGGGTACAGGGAGCACATAATGTAGACAGTTTTAAGAGGAGAAAATGGTGTAGGTTTGCAGCAAGGGCAAGGCCAACATCAGGTTAATTACAGTGGTATTTCAGAGGTTTCAATAAGCAGATTTAAAAATGAAAGAAACAACAGAAAGAAAAAGGCAAGTTTGGGGTCACGGATGAGTCCGAGATTTTGGCCCTGGGAGCAAATGCAAACCCTTGAGCTCAAAACTGTGACTCTAATGTGACAAATCCATCTTTCATGTAGGAAGAAAGACTGTTGTTTTTGAAGCACTCAGTAGTTGAACATTATGGTGTAGACAAGAACTGATAGCCAAGGCAGATAGATGAGAAAAAAAAAAAAAAGAATCAGTGTGTGTCTATATATCATTATTGCTCCCACGGCAACAGAGGGAACACAGATTGCCAAGTTTCCCACAATGGCCCCAAGTTAACCATTCGAACAGAAAAGGCCACGACTTCCAATTTTGAGGCACTGACCTTGTGACACCATTAAATACTTGATATTAAAGTACCTCTGCAAAAGACACTAAAAGAAGGCTCTTGTGTAGGTGACTTAGAGAATATTATCCTATGTCTTTTGAGTAGATTATTAAGTAATATGAGTCAACAACAAAAAATGCATAACAAAAGAAACACAAAGCCGCCCTTCATCAAATATGCTGAAAATCTGGTCTATTTCCATATGAAATAAAAAAATCCAAATTTGTATTATATTTATAGACCCTTTACCTGTATTACAAGAGAAGGAATGATTTTTTATACAGACTTTATGCTGAAACAAAGAGTAACTGAGAATATAATACAAATAAAAAAGCTAGAATCTTTTCTTGTTTCTACAGCAGTACATTTCAAGGACAATCATATTAGATAACTTTTCCTTTAATTTAGTAGTCTTTAACTACAGGCAATTGGCTTAGGCAAAAGAGGAAATGAACTGAAATGTATTCTTAGATCTGCTATGTACAGATCCATACAAAATTAAAATAATGGGTGTTGGCTTTATATAAGGAAAAATACTATTTGTGAATATATGCATTACACATTCAAATAAACCTAGTCCCTTCATATGGTTTCTATATTTTGAAAAGGCCATAATCAAACTATATTTACTTATGTCATAATGCATTTAAAACTCAAACTCACAAATCACTCAAAATACACTCCTCTGCATTCACAGATGAATGGGCAAAGAGCTCAGACGAGAGGCAAGCGCCCTGTGGTGTGCCCTTAGAACCCTTCTTGCCTATGTCTGGTTAAAATAAACCATTTCTTCCCCTTCCTTACACGCCAGCAAGGAAAGCAGGAACATTAAAGGGTGCTGGTGGACACTCAGATCTCTTTCTGGTATTAGACGGGATGTGGCCAGCACATGCACTGAAACTCAGGATCTTGGAGGCTCTCATAATAAAACATTATGAAATGTCTTACTTGAGACCTTTGATGATTTACTAAAGCAAAGGAAGAATTTCATAAAGCCTTTTCTTCCCTCCCTGCCCTTCCTTAACACTTTTTCTTCAATGCAGTGATTTAAAGATTAGTTTTTGCCACATTCATGGCAGCTGCCTGAACTGAGAAAGCTCCTTAGAGTGTGCACCTCCACTTTCCCTCTCACTATTAAAACTTTAGAGAATTTAAAATGCATCTTAATCTCTGTTAAACAGAATTAAAAGTGGCATAATGCATGAGAATGTATGAAAATGAAAGCCTTAAATTTTTCCTAATTACATAGGTGGGTATGTCTCTGCTGAGAGCAGCCCCAGAGCCTCCCTGAGGAATGGACTAGCTTGATATAAAGGATGGCTTGCCAGGATGGCTGCCCCTGCAGACACCTGAAAACTGCCTGAGCCTGGCCACGTACTGCCATAGACTGGACAGATCATCACTAGGCTCTGGAGATCACTCAGTTCTAAACTGCCTTGTTCTGCTGCATATTGCGTACTTCTTTACCTGGAAAAGCTATATGTATGTTGATATAATCGTGTGCACACTACTTAGTTTGCACTGCTGTGCCTGAATCAGTTTCACTGAAGCAGGATAGCTGCCTTTCATGTGGAGAAGCCATTATTACTACATTTTTGAAGTAGAAAAAGCATCTGCTAAACATGCATACCAGTTAGATGAGAGAAGTGAAGTATTACCTTCATTGCTAAAGGAGCTTATCAACATTCTGTTCCTTGCTGTATGCATCTTCTGCCACAGAGCATTTATCTTGGTATTTACTCTCCTCTGCCGACACTAATATGTGGCTGTGCCTGTTCATGCCATTTTTAGGGATTTCTGAGCCCTGTTTATTCCCCCTCTTTTGGCAGTTAGTTTATTTCCTTTTAGCTAAATTGTTCTAACTTCGAGCTGAATTGCAATTGAAATGGACGTAAACAGAAACCTGTTAAGTTGTTGGATAATCTTGTCTAACCTGGCATCAGAAACTGAAAATAGGGCTGCAGAAAAATACTTATGCTTGGTACTGCACATTAACCCCCGACATCTCCTCTGGGACCTCCTAGCATACAGTGCTCTCAGCTGCTGGCGCCAAGAAGTTAAAAGGTCTGCATGTATGTTGTAATCAATTCAGAAGTCAGGTAACACTGAACAAATGGGAACAGGCTTCTGGCTCAGCATGAATGAACTCAAACTTAGTTTAGCTATAGAAGTCAGACTGACTGATGGTACACAGTAAATAAACAATTCGCCAACTCGTTCTTAAATACACAAAAACTGAACACTTGTATTAAAAAAAAAAAAAGAAAAGAAAGAAAGAAAAGAAAAGCACAGCCCATAAACCAAATAAAGAAATTCTATCTCTCTTCACAGGTTCTACAAATTTTCCTTGCACCACTGTAATTCTGTACAGTGCAGACAAACAACTCTTCCCTGCCTTTCTGACAAGAGCTAAGTCTAGAACAAAAACTATCATAACACAATTAACTGAATGGAAGTACAAAGAGATTAAAAATGAAAACCCCAAATTCTTACCTTGGGCAGGATCAGGTGGGCCAAACTCCAAAGAATATCGCAGAATGAAGTTGTTATTCCACACGTACAGCTGGTTGTCTCTGGGGTTGTAATCCACTGCGGCGATGTACTGGTACTGGTTGGGGAAAGGAATGTCCACATGCTCGCCTCTGCTTAACCGGGTATTGTAGATGTAATCGATGGCATTCTTGCCGGTCTCACTCTCATTGTCCTGATACACTGACCGAACTACGTACAGGACACCACATATCATGAAAGCATTGGATGCTCCCCGCTTATCATATGTTGTTTCCCAGGTGGCTTCAAAACGCAGGGTGTAGGGATTCAGCTGGCTAATTACTATCATTCCATTGTTTTGCTCCGTAGCATAAATTACCCATAAGCCATTTTCATCAACTGCCAAGTCAATGTCAGTCTTTCCCCCCCATCGGTATGGTGAGGTGTCATGGTAATTAGCATAATTGATTATGGCCTCTCCACTCTTAATTCTAGTCCTCAAATCAAATTTTACTATGTTCCTAGTTCTTTCCTTGTTAAAAAAGACAGCGCCATCATACACTACAAATCCAGTGCCATCCACTCTATTTGGCAGTTTATATGTTGTCTGCTGGCGTCCATTTTGGAAGTCCTCTAAAGAAGCATATTCTATCAAAGTATCAGTGCGATACGGAGTCCATGGCATGAAGTATATTTTATCTGCAGCCTGGAGAGGATCTTTGCACCAAGCACCTGCCTTTTGTTCAGCTTCATATAAATACGGTGAGTCCACAATTGCTTTCAACGTCCCCGGGCAAACAAAAACTAACAGTCATAGAAAGAAGTAAGAAAAGAATTACGTCAAATTAAGACTTTCTCATAGTAAATGGAAAAAAAAAAAGGGAAAAAAAAAAGGTAGGTAAATCATAATGACTGTGTCAGGAAGAAAAAAAATTGATTTAATTGGCACTAGATTATACCTTATAATTAATGCAAGTATCACCCTTTATCATCCACTTTTCTTAAAGTTACCATGTTCTTGCTGTACCAGTATGGAAAGTGGATGGGAACTGTTTTCACTAGTACAGACCAAGGCTCAATGGCATACACAGACAGCTGAAAATGTAGAGCTACTCCTGCATTTTCATCTTAGACTTTTAGTGAGTACGCATTAACGTTCCAGAGCATTTAACTGGTGTGCAGCAGTGCGCTAGGTCATTTCAGTCCAAAAAAAAAATCACATCAACTTGTTTAGAACTTTAAGAAGTGGTGAGGCTGAAAAAGGAGGTGCCTCGATTAAAAATAAAGGAACAAAACAAAACAAATCATCAGGTATATAGAGAAAGCAATTAGGAGCAGAGAAAACAAAACACAACCAAAGCAATGAATGAAACAGACCAGGAAACCCTGTAACCATGGCATGCTATGGAGAGGGTTCTGGAAGCCAGGCAAGATGACACTTGATTAACAAGAATTTACCCAAGGGTGAGAGGAAGAGAGGGAAAAAGAGACAAAGAGAAAGGGAGAGAAAAAAAGCAAGGGAGTCTTCCCTCCAGCCCAAGTATTTCAGACACTATACCCCGCCACCTACTTCAAGCAGCCAAGTCACTTTATTGCAAACAGTCGACTTCTTTATGAGGTGTACTTATGAGATCCTGCTGATTATCATAATATAAGAGTGTCGTGGGAAGGGGAAGGGAAGAGGTTAACATCCATAAGGCACATAACAAGGAGCTGGGGTTTGGACTGTATACGTTATTTACCTTTTTGCTCCACTTCTATTTTAAGCATCGGAAGAAAAATAAAAAAGTGCAAGGAAAAAAGAAAGAAGATTAACATAAATTGACTATTAATCTAAAGATTAAATTAGTAACAGACGCTAAATATAGGGAGAATAAGAACTGCACTATATTGGATAAAGAGAAACAGACAACAGGAAAACCTAGCAGGAGAGAGATTCTACGGTTACACAAGTGAACATGGATCAATCATTCTAGTAGATTAAGGAGGCAATACAGATATGTTGGCATGTAGTTTCACTTAGTGAACCTGAATAAATAATAAATGACTTTACTAATGCATGCTATATATATTCTTCTTCTTTTCAAAGTATAATGCTATCAAGTTGGTTTTTAAGTGCCACACTGATATATTATTATTATCATATATGTGCAAGTGCACATATACTTATTATATTGATTAATTATAAGTGCAAAATGCAGCATATTATTTGCATAGATTTGTATGTGTGCTTATTAAACCTTCTCCCATCTGTGCCCCAAACACCCCCCTGCTTCTCTTTCTTGCAAAGAAATCTGCTTTCATCCTTTGGTTCTCCTTAGGTTTTGTTTTCCTGCATGTTAATCTTGAGAACTTTTGCCACTTCTTAGTCTACAACTGTAAAATCACACTAGAAGGAATAAGCAAAAACATCTAGAAAAAAGAAGCAAAAGCACAGTAAGCAAGAGGAAAAGAGAAGATTAACATTTAGCTCATTCAGATACTCTCCAGCATCATCGATTAAGCTCGAAACAGCAAGCTAGTATGCAAGGACAGTGATACTGAATGTGTAAACAAATATGCATCCCACCACATGGTATATAGAAAATACAAAACAAACCCGATTAACAGAGTTATATTACTACTGCAATTTTTCCCAAAGGAAGTTTTAAGGAACATGTTACGGGAAATCATATAGCTGAAGTCCAGCTAGCAAATAGCTTTCCACTAATTATTTGCAATAAAATCTATTTCACATATTCAGTAGACTTTGAAGTAGGCTCCCTTAGTTTCATAAAACGACCTGGAAAATGACAGATGTACCAATCTGTGTTAACAGTAGTTGCTGATACCAAGGAAGTGTATCAAAACTATTTGCACAGCTATTACAGTTTCAGTATTATCCTTAAGAATGTATTTGTGTGTTTCATACGAAGTTTTGGATTTTCAGTTTCATTTAACAAAATTACACATGATTATTTTGAGAGAATGGTATTGGCTGAGCTGATCTGGTGTTTCTTCAGGGAACAATTCCAAAACTTTATGAGGGAGTGGGAGGGGGTTAATACTCTCAAAACCAGCAGTAGTTCTCCTAGCCTTTGTTCATTTATAAGTCTTTAGGTAAAATGATTTTTCTTCTGCAATTTGTAATTCTTGAGTTATTCAAGTAAACAGAAGATGTATTCTGAGGTGAATTCCTGGGTTTCACAATCAGTGTTAATGACTTTGAGATGATTCTGTTTGTGAACTTTTATGCATGAGTTTATTCCTCGCCAAAGCACAATATTGATATTGTACCTGCTTAGAATTAGTAATAGGAGAGGGGGAAGAAGATAGGGATACAAAAATCATTACTGACATGTCTGCTCTGCGTGCTTTGGTGTACAGCTGTACATTTTTCAGGGACAGATGGGCTTATTGAAATAAACAAATGCTGCAAAGTCCAATCAATACAGACAGAGAGAGAATAAAACACTTTAAAATGTTTTCTATTGAGTTCCTGAGACCAAAAGGCTTAAAATAAAAATGCACAGATGTACAAAATAGTACTTTTGACGTCCTTTATAAAAGGGCTGACTTCTGTTATTCAGTCAAAGTGTCAACATACATCGTGCAGCATCATTGACATAAATGTCAAGTATGGTAGTCTCCATTTCTTAGTAATTTAATCAATAACAACCTTATTTTAGGACAAAGCAATGCCTATCAAATTTGTTAAAATTTTTTTGTTTTGTTGGAGATCCAATGGAGTATCACTGAGATAGCTAGAGGTTTTTTGTCTACACTTTGAGATGCAAAAAAAGAAAGTTTTTAATTAAGTACTTTCTTATGAGGGTGACAAATGCAGAACCCAGAGAAAGCTCAATCAGTATGTATTATCAGCAAAGCAACTATGTATTTCTGGAGCCCAGCAACACACAAAGGAGCTCATAAACTGCATTTTGTACAAGGGTGACACCAAGTCCAGTATGTAAGAATTCCCAACTTTCACCACAAAACCTGGTATGATTGCTATCTGTAATCTCTCATGTACTGAAATGTACCACAGTGAGACACAGTAAAATTTGCAGTCTTGCAGTAACTGAAGGTGAAGTTCAGAAAAAGTAAGAACTATCACTGAACTTTTGTTAGAAATGGTGTGATCACTAAAATCCTCCCTTCCTAGGCCCACAAAAGCCTATCCCACCTTCCTAACAAGTCTCTTATGCTGGGGCAGCTGCTATTTGCAAACCTAATCATTTCAGTCTTTCCGTATGCTTAGATATGGAGCCCTGGAACAAGTAAGGGAGAAAAAAATTAGAGTTGGTAACTGGAATTTATCAGGCATCAGAAAGAAGTGACTTGGAAAAATACCGGAATAGGCTTTGTGGGACAGGGAAGAAAGATGGTCAACAATCAAAATGGCTACTGAAGCACAATGTGGAAAAATACCGGAACAGGCTTTGTGGGACAGGGAAGAAAGATGGTCAACAATCAAAATGGCTACTGAAGCACAATGTCATTTGAAATCAAACTTCCAAACTGATTATAGCAACTGGTAACCTTTTTTATGACTTCTGGTAATGATGAGTGATGCCTCTTACAATTCTGGAATTTGGCATAATGTCATCACTGTACATGCTGCAGCTGACAAACTCAAAAACTTAAGAGACTTTGAAGGACAAGTAGCACCCAGAACCCCGAATTACGATAGGCACAGAATTACATAATTCAAAGGCTAGGCCAATGCAACTGACAGTAAACAAAAATAAACATTCAAAAAGTAGAGTATCTACATGTTAGAACACAGGGTAGGCCGCGTTGTGGCACTATACTTCAGAAAACTGGAAAAGAAAAGGTTCCTGTAGATAGCAATACCCAATCGGTAGAACATATCCACACTTCTCTTCCTAAAACAGCATAAAAAATTATGTTTGAACATTATTTGCATTACATTTTTTCTCTACAAGCTAGCCTACTGGAACTGGAAATGTAACCTCTTGTCATGTGACTGACCTCATGGTTTGGAATCAGATGCACTGCCCTCTTTCCAAGAATTTGGGAATGAAAATAATGCTAAAGTGAAAGTGATCTTTGTGGAACAAAACTTTGGTTAGATTGGGGTAAGACATCACTCCTCAAAAGTGGCACGAGAAGAACAGTTAAAACAAGCCACCGATACTACACACAGGAGGAATGGTACTAGGGATCATTGTATGCAGTAGGCTTCCAATCCTACAAATGGTACAGGAAAAAAAATCAGCAAGCAACCATTTCACAATGACACAGCAGAAATGAAGAAAAAAGAGATGATCTGTGTTTGGCCTTTAACAACAGTGAAGGCTCAGTGTGGTGAAGCAGTATAAAGTGTGTTTTGGTTTAAGAAGTCTCAATTTTAAAGTCGTGCAGGAAACAGCATGGACAGCTTTGACATAGCTTTGCTTATGTCAGAACTCATTTCCATCTTTTTTTGGATATATACTGTCACCACAGTGTTTTTGCATCTCACACTTGGCCTGTTTCCTGTACCAACAGAAAATGTGACTTTGGTTAAGGATTACTGCAGATCAAGAAATTCACACTTAATAGTAACTTCAGGGAATGATCAGTGCACTGCTCAAATTCCACTGCAAACACAGCTATTTCTCTGTTGAATTACAGGACGAGGGAGAAGTCACTGCAAAGAATGACCTTACAAGGAAGCAAATCCAGTTAAAAGTGTTGAATCTGCAGAACTCTTATAAACATGCATGCATGTCAATGAAAAAAAAACATTAATTACTGCAAGGAAATACGAAGTATGTCTAAAGCTACTGAATTCTGGCAATAGAATACTGTACAAAACTTCAAATTTGTCTGTCTCAACATGATTTCAGTATTTGTTTTCAGTGAAAAATACTATTTTGGCAGCTGATTCAAGGCACAACTTATATTTTTCCTTTATATTAAAAGTAAACATTTCTTTCTCGCTCTTTTCCCCATTGCTTTTAAGAACCAAGTTTAAGTAACTTATTAATTATCCATTCTGAATTTGCATTCACTTATATGTGCTCCTGAAGCACAAAGTCATTTTAAAATGTCCCCAACCAGGTCATTTGCCTCAGAGTGTCAGTGTTGGGTTTTGCTGTGCACCCAAATTCACCACAACAGCAGGTAGCCTTTCAAGTAGATCATGATTAAAATTGAAGTCAATTCCTGCTTTAGAAGTCCATGAGCCAAGCCAATTTGTCAGCAACTGGTAGCGGGCAAAAGTACAAATTTCTATCTGGCCTATTGAATAGCTAATTTGAGTTTGTTTTCTGGAAAAACAGTAGCCTTAAAAGCCAAACACTTAAGAACACAGACAGACACTTGGCCAGCATCACACCATGGCTTCCTTCCACACTTCGTGAAGCTAATTGGAGGCCCTAGTCTGCAAGTGCTCTGCATGCATAATGGGTCTGTAGGCCATAAACATATGCTTCTTTTCCATGTAAAAGCACTCCAGCTTTAATTGTGAGGGCCAGAGGAAGTGAGCAAGAATAAAAAGATTATACTTACTATAAGGAACACATTCATACTGAACTTCTAGGTATTTGTATGTTCCAGGACAAGGATCAGGAAATACATCTGATCCAGTAACTACTATACACTGTGTTCGGTTGTTGCACCTGTAATGGGAAAAGCAAGCAAGCTAATTAATTTAAAATTACATTTAATTTGCAAGTTCATACTAAGGTACTATATGCAGTGCTAACTCTCTTCACACTTGGGCAGTCTAATCCATAAGACAACAAAGTCAATTAATACTAGATCAGTCAAAATCCATAAGTAAAGCTTAAGGACAGTATTTCATTTCAGGCTTTATACTTTTAAATTCAGAGATGAATGTTATCTCAAATGTCACTTGTTGAAACTGATAAAGATAGCTGTCCCAAATATAAACTGATTTGATACTACTAGTCAATATAATCAAAGCAAAATGCAAAGATATTATGAAATGAAAAAATGCATAATTTTGAACAACATACAATAATACAAATGAGCAATTCTTCCCATCTTTAGAGATACGCATTCTCCTGAATGGTTTAACATCACGAGGAAATTATTTGGGTTGGAATAATTATTGTAGCCAAAGAGCATTAGCATTTCCACTTTCAATTATTTTAGGAGGAGCAATTGGTGGACTCTAAGCTTCCTCTGTTAGTTTACACGAAGAGGTAAAGAATGACTGTCTGAGGAAAGAGAAAAAACAGTTAAAAAGAACAATGGCAAGAAAATTAATGAAAATGTATTTTAGAGGAGACTGGACAAAAATCATATATATGACTTGCCTAACAATGGAAGTCAATACATATTGATAAAAAGAAAAGCTTTATTATAACGCCTCTAATCAAAAGGGTCTACCAAATTTAATGTTTTTTTGAAGTCTGGTTGTTGGGGTTTTTTTCTAATAATAAGGAATTTTAGAGTAGCATTCCTTTTTACAGGGAAAAATAACAAACTTGGAAGTTAAAAGTGGAAAAATGACCACCTAACCCTGGAGAGATGGTCAAAATGTAATGCAGAAAAAACTGTCAGAAGGAAGTAGATGAAAAAACGAAAAAAGAGAAGGTCATGGAGTTTGGTGACTAAAAGAGAGAGAGTTTGGCTGATCCTCTCAGGGGTTAGTTTTGTTTGTCAGCAAACTGAATAACAGAAGGCTGAATTTAAGTAATAGTCTAGCCTTTGACTCCGGCTGTACATCAACTTCTCTATTGCCCCGCTACTTCCCACACTCCCTGAATACCACATCCCAAGCTAAAATAAGCTATCTTGTATCAACGGCTTTCAACAGCTGTACATTGCCAATAGGTATAAGAATAATTCATGCTACCTCATAAAAGGTAGCACAACCACATTTGAAGAACTCTGATATAAATTACTTTCCTTTTTATATACAAATCGAACTAGCACAGAGCTGGTCAGGACGTGTTGTGCCTCTTGCTGAGCAAACCTGGGAACAACAACTCTTTTGACTTAATCAGTTAATTCTTTTCCTTTTTTTTTTTTGCTACTTATTTCCAGCCTCCCAGGGCTCGTTAACTGCAGAACTACTTGGAAATAGCCAGGAATTTCTGTACACACACACAACCATGGATACAGATAGATAGTGAGGAATTCAACTGGTCACCTCTGTGCTGCTTGTAGCTATGACTTTCTGGAAAGCACAGGAGGCAGGTTGCCTGTACAGCTATTGTACAGCTAATGCTGCACTACTCCCAGTAGCACTATGACTCAGTGCAACAGCCTGCCCAGCATATTAGAGAGTCTGAAAAGAGTATGACACATGCAATAGCTTTCAGACCCATGCTGGAGTGATGAAATGTGCACCCAACTTGCAGAGAAAATCACTGCACTGAATCTATAATACTGAAAATGTACAATACAGCCACTTTTTGTATTCACACAAAGGTCAAAGTGCTGCTCTCGTGTGTTGTGTAGGAGGAGGCTGTAAAAGCAGGAGAATGCAATATAGCCCAAGCCTCATAGGCCAGTCTGTTCTAACTGTTGGGGCTTTTTTTTATGCCCCACATCTCAGGCCAGACTAACCAGTATGAGAAAACTAATAATGTAAGATTTTGTAATGAATTTCTTAATTTTTTTTTCTGTTTCCTTAGTGCAAACCTTAAGCTGAAATCAAAATAATTCCCATAAAAAGACTGCACAGTGCATCATTCGGCATCGTAGTTTCCACAGCTTGGAGCTGTATGAAAATTTCATTTTTCACTTGACTGAGTGGCAATTAAGAGAGAAATATTGATTTGTTACAAAATAAAATGGATACGTATTGGGAGAAATTGCTTGAGAATGAAACTGATGAAGGTCATATTTAGCTGTGGGAAAAAAGTTCTATTAGAAGTATTTGTAAATTTTATTAAAAAGATGGACTCTTGTTTTCCTACAAAAAGCTGTTTTTTTCCTTTTTCCCCTAGCGAAAGACTCATAATGTTGCCATCAGTAAGGAAACTGAGAAGAACTTTATGCTAGCTTTGATCAAAAGGATGCCTAATAATAATAATCCAGAACAAAATGCAGTACATTTTTCTTTGTGCAGTGCTAGTGTCAAACTTCAGACATTAAGTGGTTTTTACAGGAAGCTGCTGACCTTCTAAAAAATTCTGACTATTTCTTCATGCAAGATTTCACCCACTGTATATATGGCCACCTTTTGCTTACCTCTGGCCAAAGTGAAGGACACCCCGATTCCAAAACAGTAAGCTGTGCCCTCTTCTGCAGTACACAGCAGTGCTACAAAGCACACCATCACCTTACAGAAGTGCAATTACTTGGAAAACTAAATGAATAGAAGGATTTGTGATTTAAATTGTAGGGGTTTTACATTCAAATCACTGATTTTGCAGCATTGCTGGTTGCGCTTTATAAAACCTAA